TTTCAGTGAAGGCAAAATATAAAACAGTCTCTTTGCCTTTGTATTTCTCGTCACCACTCTTGATAATTTTAGAGGTGAAAAATAGATTTTATTAGTAAACTGCCTGAATGGATATAATAAGGGTGCTTAAAAGATAATAGTTGGTGGTGCAGATGTGGGTTATGTGAGTTAGTTAGGGTAGTATGTAACACAACGTCTCAAAGTTTCATTTATTTATTAAAATTATAATGTGTTTTGACCATTATGCCGTCAATAATATACATTTGAAATTTAATGGATCTTTTGTTTAGAGACAAATGAAGGAATTTGTCTTTATGCCACGACATAGAGCTTGACCCCCATGAGCTCGTAAGAGCAAATAGTTCGAAAATTGGAGTTAAAACAAAAAACTTATGCATCTTTGAACTCAAGGGTCATTTCCGTTGAAATAAATTTCACTGAAATCGGAGATTATTTGTGATTTTTTGTTTTAAACCGATCTAGCTAAGTGGGCCCACCGGGCCTGGAGGCTTTTCGAGGCCCCTCTTGAGTGCCAAAAACGCCCCAAAACGTTCATTGGACCCTTTGAGACTATTTTTGCGATCAATTTTAATAATTTATTATCTTGATCTAGGTGCCACAGCTCCGCTACAATGGACGATGAACCTACTGAGGGTTGTGTTAGCTTTGGACCTTTATGTGCAAGTTTTATTTTAAATTTCATGTAACCGTCTCTTTTTAATTATATTTCATATCATATTGATGATTTTCAAATTAATTGGATTTTATTATCGTTTCGGTGTAACAAAGGATTTATTTGACAATTGTTTACATTAGGTTTGATTATGCTTATCTATGGAAACTTCATACAATATACTTTTCATTGTTGAGCTTAAATTCTTAAGCTTTGAAACGACTTTGACTTTTGTTTAACTTTGTAAAATTTGTATATACATATCTAGTTTATGATATGAGAAAGTGGTTTTCAAACCACCTTATGAGTACCCTCCTCAAGTTTAGCAGTTACAGTGATACTTAGGTCTTTGGGACCCATTAGGCACACATAGAGGCTTTGGGACGTGTGTGTTTATCCCCTTTGGGGCCATTTATGTGTGTATCACCAGTTAGATCAATTAACATATCCCCCATCCTACATGTGTATCAAGATTACTCTGCATGTGTGTGGTTGGATAGCCCATTTGTGTCCCTAATTCTTCATCATGCATGTGCATCGAATTCACTCTCTGTGGTTGGTCTGCTCATTCCCTAGGTAATAATGTTTTAAGCATGTCTATGAGCTTATGGATTGATAGTTATATAGCGTGATTATTTCCATACTTTCAATTATGAGGTTGATGAGATGACCTATACTTTTGAGCATGCTTATCACATAATGTATCGATTGTTTTGTCTATATCTCTTTACGATCTTACTTAACGTTATTATCCTTGTTTGATTAATTTTCGCTTTGTTCACAACGGACCTTTTTTTTAAAACATTTTAAATAGAAAAGGTTTTGAAAAAAAGTTTTTCCAAAAACATTATTTTTTCTCCACTATTTATCTCATGTAGGGCTGGGCTAGGTGTGGTTTGGTTCAAGTTTACCCCAAAATTGCCCGCCGAATCGACATCCTCAGAGGAGAGATTTCTTGAACTGAGGTCGAACCACCACCTTAAAACATCGACGCCCTCGATTAATCGAAATGATCGGTTCGGTGTGGATTGGTTGCAGTTTTCAAGCCGAGGTGAGGCAAAGGGTGAGGAGACTTGTTAGTGAGCAAGGTGACGAGGTTTGGTGAAACAAGAGACAAACATGACACAAGAGAGGAAAAGAGGAGAAGTAGAAGAGTGGAAGGGGAGAGATAAGAATCAGAGATCAATGGAAGAGAGAGAGAGAGAGAGAGAGAGAGAGAGAGAGAGAGAGAGAGCATGATGGAGCAGGTGCAATGTAAGAGGAGAGGAGATATGTTAAGGTTACCCTAACACGTTTAACACAAGAAGCATTGTTGCGTTGGTGGTTTAGTGCGTGGAATATGAAGGGTAAAGTCAAGGTTGGAATCCCTTTGGCAAACACTTTTGGATTTTAGGCATTTTAAGAGGCTCGGTTCGGTTAAGGTGAAACTGCCAATTTAAAACTCTCATCGATTCAGTTTAATTTGACAATAAAATTAAATAAATACACAAAAATTGGACCAAACCAACCCGATTGGTTTGGCCGATTTTTTGAGTATTTGGTCCAATTACCCACCCCTAATCTCACCTTTTTCTTCAAGACACTTTGATTTTTCTATTTTTCCCAAGTAGTAAATCTACCTCTTTGCATCGAAGTTCGAATCCCCCTCCTCGTAGATTAGATTAATATAAAGTAATTTAGCCACCCCACCCACCTCCCCCCTTTCCGAACCCCAACCTCAACGGATCTGGTAAAAAAAAAAGACCCAACCTACAATCCAATCTTCTCCAACAACCATTCTCTCACCCACCTTCTTCATTGCCTTGCCCCACCCTCTCCCACCCATCTCTGAATTTCAATTGATTGTTAATAGGCAAGGTAGTGTGGGGGGAAAGCAGCCCGCTCCACCCCCAACTAGCCCATGGCCCCTACATGAAGGTACTCTGTCTCTGTCTCTGTCTCTGTCTTTCTCTCTCTCTCTCTCTTTCTCCCAACCTCTCCCTAGAACTTATCAAAACACTCGAGGAAATTTGGGGGAAGAAAGTGTTGAGTTGTGAAGATACGATTAGACGAGGAAAATGAGTAGTTTCCTTTTTTGGTTTTAGATTTCTAGTTCAATTCCTATTTGGTTTAGTATTCCTACTTTAATCATATTTTCTTACACATGTAACCCTAGGACTTATGCACTATAAATAAAGGCCTTTAGGGAGTCTTATTATTTGTGGCTTGAATGTGGTTAGAAAGGGTTATTGTGAGTGTGGCAATGAGCCTAATTACGAGTGAGTATGAGGAAAACATTTGAGTGCTTGTAATTGTTTTATCTTCTTCTTCTATAGTGAATCTCTAACAACCCGAGGACATAGCTTATATTGAGTGAACCTTGTTAACAAATTCTTGTGTTGTACGTATGTTAACTTTTGTTTTTCTCAATCACGTTTATATTGTTTCGCACTTGTTCTTTCGTGGAGATCAATGACCCGATATCCTAACAGAAAGAACAGAAGGTTTGGGGGCAGGCCTGAAGCTATGGAAAGGTTGATCAATTGAGGCAACTAGCATCCCCCCTAAGCTATGGAAGGGCAGACATTCATTCCTTTAAGTTGGAAATTTTTTTTTTTCAACACACCCAACCTAGATGTTGTGGTGGATGACATAAATCAGTTTAGGGGGTGGAGTAGGTGGTGGTGGTGGTTTGGGTGATGCGTTTATGAGGGAAGATAATGGTGGGGGTTGGTGAATATGGATTTGGGTTGGGTTTATTAATTATTATTATTTTGTGTTTTTGCTTAAAAAAAAATTTCAAATTTTTTTTTAAAGGTGCAGAATGATCAAATTCTCTTTAAATTGCGTCACATGCTTGGCACATGATATTTTTTAACGACATATTGGATGGAATAGAGGTGTCAAACGGATCGAGCCGCTCCGAGCACAGTTTGCTTAAGTAAGGCCCAACACGACATGACCCGTATCTTTAAGCGGGTTAGAATGAGGTAATTAAGCCGAATAGGCCGGACCGGCTCATTTAAAACTCATTTATTAAATTATATTTATATGTGAAATTCAAGTCTATTTTTTTTCTCTAATAATATATATTAAAATTGAATGTTTGCTTTATATATAAAATAATAATTTTGTTTTTCAAGTTTCAATTTTTTAAAATCCAAACAATAATCTAGTCATTTTCTATTTAAATGTATCTTAAATATAGTTATTGGCCTCTTTTTCAACAACGATTTAAAAAAAAATATATATATATATATATAATGTTGGCATCTTTTTTAACAACTCTTGTTAGTATATACATAACTGTAAAAAATATTTAAATGAAGTTGTAAAAAAAAATTCTTAAAAAAATGAAATGAATAAGTCAAATTTAGCTTGGGCTCATATGGGCCCGCCACGAGCATGGCCCAATCCCATATGAGCTTGGGTCGTGGACTCATACCAAGATTGATGATTTTCATAAATAAATAGGTCCGTCACAATCCGTTTATTAAATGGGCTGATTTTAAAAGGGTCAAGCCGGCCCAACACGGCCCGTTTGACACCTATGGGATAGAATGTGAGAATAATTAACCACAAGGTTAAAAATTAGCTGAAAAAAAGGTTAATATCCTTAATTTTCTAATAAAAATTGATAGGCTGCAAATGATAATCATGGGTGGTAAGAGAGTATTATTATAACTAGTGATAACCAAATGGTGAAGAGGAATTTCCAGCAAGCAATGATACATTCAGATGTGTTTGTATTCTTGTATGTCTTGTTTGACAACATCCCTAAGCTCAACTTTCTAGTCAAGGTGCCATCTTATAAATTATTTATTTTTATTTTTATATATATGTACGTAAAGATTCGTAATTATCATATGCATAGATAGTCATGCAAATTTTTTATTTTTTTATACAAGCGATAGGGGGGATTTCTCTCACACACGCACAACTATGATGTTGTGGTTCGAACCCAAGACCTCTAGTCTGCAATTGCAAGTCAAGGCCCGTTTCCACTAGACTACAGCTCGTTGGCAGATAGTCATGCAATTTAAAATTAGCAATCTTGGTAACATATTACTTGGTAATTACGCATATCTGCATAGGTTGCCTTAACATACAAAGTACCGATACAATACATGTAACAAAAAAATTAAAAGTAGATTGACATAAAATTTGACACTCATGGTAAGTGCATATACAGCAAACAAATCTACATTTGCTAGGAGAAACAAGAAACAGAAAAAAAAAAAAACAAAACAAAGATGGAGAAACATGAAAGGAAATCTAAAGAAGCCAATATCATATTCATAGATGATGACTCTCTTCAATGGAGTGAGAACAGAAACCAGAAATGGCTTTAGGCCCAAAGCAACGTCACAACAAAAAATAAAACGAGGGCTAGTCCGAAGCAAATTCCAACAATTGCGGTGAAAGCCTGGAAATTGGAATGAAATGAGATTGATGCTTGTAATCAGAACATATAATAGAATTTTGAAAATTCATCGTCACCTTGCCCTGAGACTCAAAATGGAACTTGGCACTGAACCATGACAGTCCCCTGTCTACCAAAGGAGCAAGAGCAAGGGCCCTGCATCAAATGGTCCTTGTTAACTCATATAAGAACACAGGATCACATTCTAAACATTCATACATACTTGGCAGCAATACAATCATCAAATGAAAAAAAAATTTAGATTTTATATATTTCTCTCACAAAATCGAAATTGCACTTCACAGCCAACGCTGACAAAAGAAGTTACCAACCTTTTTGGCACCGGTTGCTGTGGGTGACACATATTAAAATTACTTTTAGGTTCTTTTCAGGTAACAGCCTATGCTTGAGAAATGAACCTTTAATGTGAGCTATTACTTTAATCACGCACATTAACAATCCAAACGTAGGTGTTAACAACTGGATCCTTAAATTAACTCAACACATCCAGCCACAATAAATTATTAAGCATTTTTCAGGAGTTGGATAAAGAACCAGGGCTAATTATACTTGAAAAAGCAGGAAAATCCCAACAAGCAGAAGTCTTGGCTACTCAAAAATCATGAAAACCCATGATTATATTTTCATAAAACTAACAAATTTAAAAAAATGAATTATTGGATCTAGCAACTCACCCTCCAGCTCGTACAAGCTTGGTGACCTGGCTTCCGGCCCACACCATGGCCATTATTTTGAGAAATCTGCAAATCACCAAGTGTTAATATCAATGCTAGATTTGAAGATATTGCATAACCTGGAAAGAAAAAAAATTCAGCGATATTCATATATGAACAATTACCTCTGAACAGCTGGGATGTAACCCATCCTCCCAGGTGCTGGAGCAACATAGAACCTAAAAGGAAAAGAAAACAGTTCAGAGTTGCAATTATTCCACTAAATTTACATGAGCAACTGCATAGGCAATATAATAATACAATTTATGGAGCCTTATTAGTACATTGTAGCATCCAGTAGTAGCACTGAACACCCAATTTATTTTCTTCAAATGTGGATGTCAAATGAAAATACTTTGACTGCCACAAAGAAGCATGATGACGCTTAGAAAGCAAGGCCATAAAATCCCTAAGAGTAATACTTCTAGACCATGAAATCCATATGCACAACAAACAAACCAAGACTATATATAATCCCTTATGAGTCAATAAGTACTGCGATAGAATCGCATTAGAATTTAAAAGAGCCAATGTAAAGAAGCTTTTCAGAATCAATGAATAGAAAACCAAGTCATAGAAACAGATGCTCAGGTAAGGCCAATAGAGTTCAGCAAAACTGCGAAATGGAGTGGTCCTTTACAGGGATATTAGTTGTAACTTGTAATACTATGATGTTTAATACAAGCCAGAAGATATTACCAATACACCTAATTTGGAGATACTTCACTCACCATACCAAGAGAAATGTCGTAAGATAGTAAGCAGTATTCAGTAGTCCATATGACAATAATCCAGAAATCCCATATCTCCTTAACTTCTTCAAAATCCTGGCAAGTTAAACAAACAAGAAAATGAGCATCACAAAGGCTCAATGAAGGTTGAAAAGTGAAAGAAGATTGGCAAGGTTAACCAAATGTACGGTAGAATTTTGAACTTATCAATGAACAGAAATTTGGTTTAAAAAATAAAGAGGAACATAATACAAATAAATAAATAAAAGAAAAAAAACCACATAACAACCAAATGGTCCATTTTGACATTCAAACATCTAGAAGCAATCAAAGGTAGAGTTTAAAAAGAAAAAAATAAAGTAAAACTGACATAAACTTTCTATCTCGTGGGTTGCTAATTTTAGGTACTTTTGAGGTCCCTACGGAGTGTTAATAACTTAATATTAACTTGAATCTTTAACAAAACTTCATACATGCCATGAGAAAAGTCTACAAAATGGTCACATCAACTCATTACATGAGATACATCTGAAACATATTGCTTAAAAAATCATGCTTGTAGACACTATATCTATTGTGAATGCCCATTTAATATTGTATAACTCTAGATGGTACTGTAATACTTGCGCATCATCTAATATCATCCCCTAAACCATCTAGTGGGAACTGGAAAGGTGCTTATTCAGTGCACTAAATTATGTTATCTCACACCAATCAGGAGAAATTTTGACATTATAATTACATGACTAGAACGACAAAGCAACGACTAGAATTCCTCGTGTCAAAATAAATTTTTACACGCTACAAATCTTGATAAAATAATAAAACAAAAAGGTGTACCTATCTCAGAAAAGGTTTCCTTTTACTTTTATTTATTTATTTATTGTTTGCGTCCATCGACAGGTATAAATTACACAATGTGGGCACTATTTCACAAGCTCAAACCTGGGCTCTTGAAAAGCTCTATCCGTATGGATGAAAATCATGAAATAGGTATCAATATACTCACATGTCATTGTGGCTGTCTTAAAAAAAGTCACCTCCTTAATTGAAGGATCTAGCTTTAGTATACCTAATTGCTTACGAGATTATCTTCGTCATCATAGAGATATTGAGCAGACAAAAACCATTCCATAGGATGACTTCCGAAAAATTCACTCAGCTACAGATCTTATATTTAATCATCTAAGTGACTGACTAACCAGGTGACTAAGTCCCACTTCATATTTGTTACCTTTTGGATAGCCCTCAGCTGTGACTAATTTGCTAATAAGTCAGGTATTTAGAAAACAGAGTAAGATGAATATGAGTTCAAATACTAACTCACCATCATTACATAACTAACAAAAATCAGTAGCCTTTAGTATTGACCAAAAACATTGTAAGGTAAGTAGAAAGTACTCATTGGATGTGACAGGTACTCCTTCACCACTATCACTATTTCCAATTGCCCCTAAAATAAATCGAAATTTGGGAAATCATTAGTTCCTACAAATGGATACAAGGAGAGAATAGGAAAAGCATCATAATATACATTTTTTATTTTATGAAATGAAAAGATGAAATTTTATTTCACAAAAGAAGCTGTACAGCAACATAGATAAGCAATCCACCATGAATATATGAGAGAAAACAATAATTCATGCTACATCTAGTTTAACAAACCAAAACATATTCATGACACTACAAGCTTTCCAGTCTAGAACAATGTCAGGAATAGAAGTGTTCCTAAAATCACAAGAAACAGATGCCCAAAGCGCTGCCCAATCACCTCCTCAACTTCCATCCCCCTAACATATTCGAAGATACGTTGGTTTCTTTCCGACCAAATAGCGAAATGATAGCCACCATCATACAGCCCCATATTACATTAGCCTTCTTTCCACCACCCAATACTTTAAATTTCTCTCCAAGCAAAGAAAAACAGTCTTTTGGCAACACCCAACCAACATTAATCTCATTAAATAAAGAAACACCATAATTTCCTGCTACATTGGCAAGATAATATATCTTCAAGATATCCTATAATCATCGATATGGTTAAGAATATTATATACCTTGAGATTTAGTGGAGAAGCTTTCAGCATCTGACAACCCATAACCCTGTCCACACATGAAAGAGAACACAGAGACACCTTTCTATCAGAATATTTTACTTCAACCTAAATTAAAGAGGAAAATATTTATGACGTAACATCAACGCCACCATCCACCATGTACAAGCCCCTACACATACACTCGCATGTATTATGTATTTTCATTGATTCCCAAACTAATATTGAAGAAGTACATACTCTATAGTCATTTAGGCTCATAACATCACTGTACGCCCATATATATTTCATCAACAGTAAACCCAAGGGATTAACTCAGACATAAAAAGGTGACATTTTTCTGGGTTTTCCAGGTGAGTTGGACAGAGAAAAACTGCAAACAGTGACACATACTTCAATTTCTCTTATATTATAAAACGATGTTTGTCTTTCACTGAAGTATAAGCAAGTAGAAAGCACATTTCACCTAGTAATGGTAGTTTGACAACATTATTTACCCAAATTAAATAAACAAAAGTAAAGGAATCACATCTGATGTACATCGTATCCAATATTTTGGCTTAAAATGCCATTCACACATTAATTCTTATAAAGCAGTTCATGATTTTCATAGGTAACAACGTGAATAGAAAGAGAAATGTTTAATTTTGTAACTCTTGTCAGCATCAGTCCACCTTACATTAGCTACTCAGTTGATGATCCTCAATAACATTTATGGGAGCATTGTAAGTCATTGTTGTCTCGATAATGTATATTTTCCCCTTAACATTCAATTAAAGTCACCTTAAGCAATTGAACTATCTCCAAAATGCATTAAATTTGTGTGGAATTCTAAATCCTCTTCTGCTCTAGTTTCATCCTTCTTCCTCCATACTTAATACATGCAAATTCAATAGACCTATAGTGGGTCAATCAATTTCAAAATCTTTCTCTACCCTAATTCATCCTCCCTTCCATACTTTATACATCCAAATGCAATAGACCTCTATTGGGTAATCCCAAAATTTCGTATTTTCTTCCAAATGCAATATAGGCAGGGTCCAATTTGACTCAAAATTAAAATGGTGCAAGACACTACACAATGTTGAACAATAAAGTAAAGAACCCACATTGACATTGTCGTTGCCATTGACTAGGGAGAATCGCTGAAATTGGTTCTTCTGATTCAGCGAAATGTGGCTGAGCTTTGTCAATGAAACCCATGAGTTGCTCAAGTACGAGAACTCATAGCAGCCCTAAACACCACCAGGAAAGAAAAGACTACTACAAGAGTAAGAAAAGAACTGAAATGAAATGGAAAAGAATTAATAAATAAATAATAAATAAAAAAGGCGATAATGGGAGGATGCTTACCGGGTTATGCAGAAGGGGAATAGAAACAGCTGTGAGCGCCAGGGAACGGGGCATGATGGAGAGATTGAAGGAGGAGACACAGAAAGACTGTTGCACCCGCACAAGGTTGCGGGCGCGCGAATTCGCAAACTGGCTTTTATACACTACCACTCTATATTTACGTATTGTACATTTACCCCCCATTTCGCTACATCTCAGCCATGCAAATGATCTAACCACTTAAAGAGATGCCACGTCATCAAGATTTGGGTTATATATTGGGCCTTGGTCTAATCAGCTAGACCGAAGAAAATACTCCAAATTGAAATAGGCCCATGCGATCAGGTGCGTGAGTTGCAATAACGAAAAGTTAAATAATGTAGGAGTAAATTGTTTTGGTCGAAACGAGCAACAGCCGAAAGCGAGGACACTTGCGACGGACGAAGAAGAAAGTAGACGGACAGAGAGAGAGAGAGAGAGTGCAAAAGTTGGCCTGAGATCTGAAGCTTAGGATCTACGGTAAGCTTTTGGTTCTTCTTCTTCCTCTGGGTTTGTGATGCTACCTGAGGTTCCTAATTGCAGGAATTTTCAATTTTGCGAAACTCCTTTTTTTTTTTAATTATTATTTATATTTATTTTTAATTAAAACAAAATGAAAAAAAAATTTCTGATGCAAATTATTGTACCCTTGTTTCCAATTTTAGTCAGCCCTTGTCCTTAACGAGGTTTTTGAATGGAATGGAGTTGTCTCCAATTTCTGTTGAAATTCAGGGCATTGTTTTTGTGCCCTGAGGTATATTGCTAAAAAATGCAATGGACTTTGGGTCAATTACGATTATGTGAATATCTTCATCCATTTTTTTTAAAAAAATTGTCGGTTTGATTTCGTTCAGGTCTGCGTTTGCTTTTTATTTTTATTTTTTGAAGTTCCTTTTAAGGGTTGTAGTTGGTTCAATCAGAGTTTAGTCTTATTTTTAGGTAATTTAGTTTTTCAATTAGGATTTTTATGAAGCCTGTGTAAATGGGTCAGTTTCGCTTCATCATCTATGATCTAAGTCTAACATATTCATTGTTCAAGTTTTGATTGAATGGATTTTATGTATATAAGCTGATGGTATCTTCTGTCGAAGGTATTGTGTGTTAAGAGAATTGGGACTTTGTGGAAAGGATTTTGGTTATTCCGGTTGTGACTTGTGAAAGGGAGGCCAACAAGGTCAAAGTCATGGGACTTGTAGGTGCTTGGTTCATCACGGGCATAACTGTGTGTGTCTGTTTGTGCATTATATTACAGGAAAGGTATTCAAATTCTGAACGATATCATCATCGAGCGCTTTGTCGAGTTTTGCTTGCATGCAAGAAAGAAATGGATCCCGGTCGCTATGGTCTTCAGCAAGGATGGGATAATAACAGCGTAATTGTGGTTTCCTCCTTAATAAATCACCTATATGGGATGAATCATGATAAATACAAGAATTTATTAGGGCCCAATCTGACTGTCCATTTTTTTGGGAGAAAAATGAGAGAAAGCCATGGGGCAATGAGGATATGGACTGACTGGATTTGCCTAACCTCATATCATCATTGATCTGTTGCTGACATTACCTTATTCTCTTGAATCCACAGGCTCTGGAGGGGTATGCTGCAGTCCATGAGCCAAACTTTCGGTGAGTGCTACTGACTGTTGCTTTTCATCTTCATTACGGTAATTTAGAACTCATAGGAAAAATTGGCTCCTTAAATTTGTTTTAACTTTTTAGTTCTACTGCCCAAATTTCGTTAATGGTTGTGAACCAATATCTGTCATTGGTACGGTCTGAATATTCCCTTTAATTTTGTCATCGATCTTTTTAATTGGGTGCATTGTGTTACATTATATCTTCTCCTTTTGTCCCATATTATAATTATTTTTTGGCAGGGTCGGTGGTTCATACGATGAAAGGAGGTTTATAGATGAAAGATACTCAAGGGACGACGTCTATCCAAGAAATGCTTTTCACCGCGATGTTTTGGATAGGGATAACTATCCGCCACCACCTCATGCTGTTGGTGTATGGCCACATTCAAGAAGAAGAAGTTATGAAGAAGAAATTCCCGTTGATAGGGATAGGAGACATGAGAAACAATACATTGATTCATATCATGAGATGGATAACTTTCATGATCATGAGATTGATACATTTCAGGAATTTGATAAATTTCGAGATAGCTATCGCGGTATTGATAGCTATCGTGATCCTGGATTTGACAGGATTGCAAGGCTTGGTGGACGTGATCGTGATGATTATGCATATGATGATTTTGACTATAGGTCCCGTTCTACCCATCAAAACAGAGAGGAGAGTCGTGAAAGGGATTATGACTATGGCCGACACAGTTATGATTCTGATTATGACAGAGGTAGTAGGAGAGATAGCAATTGGAGGCGTCGTGGATCCCGTGAATCTCGTGACCGAGAGCGCGAGAAGAAATGTTTGAGTAGGGAAAGAGAACAGAGTCCACATAGAAGGCATGAGCGTTCTCGCTCCCGGTCCATTTCTCACGGGCATGATGATCGTCCTAGATCAAGGTCCCCTAGAGGTCGAAGCCATGGACGAAGTCATCGAGAGGACAGCTATGATGATGGACGGCATGAGAGAACTGATAGGCGAAGGGACCGTGATGAGAAACGCCAGAGAGAGCATTATTCTGTGGTATGTTTTGCATCTTTCTGTTCAACCTAATTGCCTATGTGTTTACTGTATGCAGGATGACTTACCGTGTATGGTGTTCTTTTGTAGGCCCCATCTGCAACTATTGTTGTGAAGGGTCTTTCACAGAAGACGACTGAGGAAGATCTATACCAGATCCTTGTAATATGTCATCTGATGTTTTGTTATGAATACCACATTTCTACTTCTCTCTACTTTTTGATAACCTTGCAATTTGTATATCCTTCAGACTGAATGGGGACCCCTTAGACATGTCCGTGTGATCAAAGAACGTAATTCTGGCATCTCTCGTGGATTTGCTTTTATTGATTTTCCTTCTGTGGTATGTATCATTCTTTTAGTATAAATGTTTTGCATTTGATTTGAATACAAATAATTCACAATGGAGTTTCTGTTTGTTTAATAGGGAGCAGCATGTGCTATGATGGACAAGATTGGGGATGATGGACTTGTGGTGGATGGCCGAAAGCTTTTTTTTGAGTACAGGTGTTTTTTGTTGGTCCTACTTTACTGGATGAAGTCTTAATATAACCATCACCGAAGTGTGGTAGCATTATTTTGTCATTGTGAAATATATATATACAGAGAGCTTCCATTCTTATTTGAGGGACACCCTTGTAGGGCTCACTCCACATTGTATTTCGCTATTCCTAATCGTGTATTTTATATATCCTGTCTTTCTTAACTGATGAAAAAATAGATACAAGAAGTGAGTAGAACTCGAATTCAAGAGAACTGGAAATGCAGATTTATAAAACTATTGGGTTGGAGAGGATGATCGTGTTCTTAGTTATTTGAACCCCACTGGGAAATGCCAGTTTGTTTTCTCGGGTGGTTGTAAGGGTAAAATTTAGTAAAGGTGAAGAAGACTGCATAGTTAACGTAAACAATAAAGGACATCATGCATGATGTGCGGATACTAAATGCCTCAATAAATGAAGGATTTTCTTTCTGTGTCAGATGTATTCTCAGCTGTCAGATGATGCAAATGCTGAAAGTGTGGTTTTGTTTTTGTCCCTGGAATGGGACCCATATTATTTTTCTATGAGTGTACTTATTTCCATTTTGAACTGTGTTTTGTTGCAGTAGTAAGCCGACTGGGGGTGCAGGTGGATCTTTTGGTCAGGAGAATGCTGTGAAATCAGGCCATAATAACCGTAAAAGCATCACAGTGCCCTCTGATTGGATGTGCATTAGTTGTGAATATGTTAATTTTGCAAGGCGGACATCCTGCTTTCAGGTGTGTATTTTTTTTTTTCTGTTACAAGGTATTAATTTCTTTTTGTCTTGATATATTTTGACGAATTAACCCTCCATCATGTAATAGTAAAGTGCTAAATGCCTACCAACAATGTTGCCTTTTCTGGGAAGAACAGCTGCACTTATGTGCTTGGAAATATTCCATTATATGACTTAAGGTGGTTTTGTTAAAGACCTTCTGTGCTTTTGTGGTAGAATTTCAATTCTGCTATGTTTAGATACAGTGCTTTGGGAACGAAATCTTTTGTGTCCAAGTAAATATGTAACTATGGTACAATAGAAAAGAAATTTTTATTGTTTTATTATTTTAGAAAACAAAATTTTCAACATGCATAACTGTGTAATGTATGTGGATTAATTTATTTTTTCTTAAGAATAATTAATGTAAGTTGATTATCAAAAAAGAAAAAAAAATTCATGTAGGTTAGTGAGTCTCTGTTTTCCTCCTTTGTTGCAGTGCAATAAGGCACGAACTGAGGATGCTCCGGCAGCAGATATTTCTTTATCCAATCAAATGACTTCAGCAAAGAAAGGATCTGAAGCTGGTTAGTCTACCTTGTTTCTTTTAGCTGGCGTAATTAAGTATTAATTTTTATGAACTTAACTGAGTATATACGTCATTAGGTCCTACTCATGTTTTGGTTGTTCGCGGACTGGATGAAAATGCTGATGAGGAAATGCTGCGCTATGAATTTTCCAAACATGCCGCAATTAAGGTGCAAATGCTGAACAAATTGAATTCTTTTTATTTCTTCATTTAGTGTCATCTTAAAGTTAAACAAGACAGATTTTTTTTTTTCTATCTAGCATGTGCATCGGAGATTTATTGATATTATTTTGCAGGATCTTCGTCTTGTTAGAGACAAATTTACTCATGTTTCAAGGGGATTTGCATTTGTACATTTCCATTCGGTATGCCAGCTTTTTTTCCCTCCCTTTTCCGTTATTCAGTTGGTTAAATGTTGTAATTTTATTGTCTTCCATTTTTTCTGGTATCCATTTGCGTGGCCTTAATGTTCTGATTCAAGAATTTAAAGATACTGAAGTTAACTGATGTTAGGGACGAGGAAAGGATGTGAGCTGTTAAAATCACGGAACTTAAATATAAAAGAAAATGCTGCTTATCTCCCAACTTATATTTTCAGAACTTAATGTAAAAAATTTATCTTTAAAATGTACATGTTCAGAACTTATGAGTATAATTGTACAGATCTTATATATGGTCATCATATGCTGAGTTTTTATTTGTAGGGTAATTGTATCACTTCTACTTTATAAGCTCCTTTCCAATAGGGAAATGATGTTTTGAACATTTTATTTGCTGGTTATGTGAGGAAACGTGGTGTGACTAGATTTAAATTTGTATGTTCCTGACCAAAAGATTGGGCAAAATGTAGAGTGGGCAAAATGTTTTTGTGGGATGTATTAGGGAGTTGGCAGCTCACTTTGATGGGGTCTCCCAATGCTGAACTATATTTTAATAGAGCTCCTTTAACTAACCAAATAAGTTAAAATGAAGTTGCTATAAATGTTATGCCATATGAACTTCTATAACCTGATCAATGAAAATGATTTTCTAGATGTGTGATATGATCATGGTTTGCATCCAGATGTCTGATATGGTTTTCTATACTTACGATTACACACAATCAAGGGCATAAACAAAACCCATCTAATTCAAACTGTTATTGTACATATTCAGAAGTGTGATATGTTGATGCCTTTCATCTAAAAAACTGCATCCCTCTACCCAATTCTTTTGATCTGAGATTTAACATGTTTTCATGAGGTTGTCCGAAAAAGAAACCTGTCTTCATGTGCACCTCTTGTTTTGAGTCTTAAAAGGTTTTTGCATTCGTAGTGGGGTAAGTTGGAGTTGTAAAACATCTTGTGTTTAAATAAAAAAGAATGAATGAGGAAAAAAAAAAAAAAAAAAAAAAAGAAAAAAAAAAAAAAAAAAGTTTTTTTTATCATTACTTTTTTTTCCTCCCCCTCGTTATTTCTCCTCTTCCTTATTCTATTTTTTTTATCAATTGGCTTTTAGTCTCAAAGGCTGTGTGGGTGCATGTATTGTGTGGTCTTTCTGCTAATGTTGATTAACTTTATCGTGCTTGGTTAAAATTGTGTAAATGGTACACTTTATTACAATTTTTTGCTCTCTAGTATTCCAGAAGTAGAAGTATAATAACTTCCTTAAAGATGCCTTAGTTGTAAAAGCTTGATTTATTTATTATTATATTTTAATTACGCTTTGGTTGCAAGTCTTTTGTGTTTCAGGGCGACAGAGTTACAAGACTCTACTTATGAGTTATTAAGTACAGTCTAGGAACTCGGTCACCCCCCTGATGGACGTGTTCTTCATTTCTATCTGTCTTCCAATGTGAGATGTGAAGAAACAAAGAAATCACCGCAGTATTTTGTTTTAAGCTGCAACCCTATGATTTTCAGGTGGGAGATGCTACAAAAGCTCTTGAAGCAACAAATGGAACAACACTTGAGAGGAATGGGCAAATTTTGAGAGTAGCATATGCAAAGAGCATTCTTGGTCCAGGATCTTCACAGTCAAGCAGCTTGGCAGCTGCGGCAATTGAGGCAGCCACCTTTGCGCAACAGGTTTCTCTTAAAATAATTTTATACGTTTTTTTCATCTGTTTTGTTGACTTATATGATACTTCTTATATATATAAACTTTATATTAATTGTAAACACTTGAACAACAAATATAATATTTTTAGATCATGTGATTATTAGAATAATGGAAAGCAGACGTTCATGAGAGTTAAAAATGTTTTGGTTCACCACATAGATGGAAGACATTACATGTCTAAAGATTTCCATAACTTTAAGATGAGTAATTAAATACTCAAATACTCAAATATTTAGATATATCTGCTGTACATGGCTGCCATTTAATTAGTTGTTGTGTGGTCAGAATTTGTGTTAAATATTATCTCATGATTAATGGAGATTCCCAAGGCCAGAGTATACTTATTTGACAATGTGGAAAAGTTGATTCTTGATTTTTTTATTATTACTTATAAAAAAGCTGGTGAATAATTTATCGACAATAATAATACCACCTGTACAAGGAATATATTCTAAGAGGGCTGAATTATTTGGAAGCATTAAATTCTGAGGAACTTTGTACTTTTAATTGTAATAAAAGGTAGCTGATTAAGTTTTTGTTATACATTCAAATTACAAGTTTGAGTCTTCGCAGATGAAAAATCATAAATTTTGTTAATTATACACAATCAGTTCACATCAATCTTTTCAAGCTAAAAGAATACTCAGTCCGACAATGAACTGGTTTTATGGGGTTGAATGGGTACTAAACCAATTCAGTTAAAATTCAAATAGAAAGTGAAGCTGCCTTGGTCAGTTGACCACCCTCCGGAAAATGCCCACCGCAATAGAGGACTATGTATGAAAAAGACCTACTAGGGTGAGTAGCAGATATTTAAGCTTTTGGATTGACTAGTTTCCAAGAAAACAGAAGATAGACCATAATGATTCTTAAAAAATTTCATACTAAGTCACGACCTTGTAACCCAAGAAAAGAGAAGAGAACCATTATGCTCAATGCTTTCCGTTAGTTTGAGTAAGAGGAATTGGAAGAGGAGAAATTTATGACGTTTGGAACTGTTTTGCTGGTATTTTGTTATGTTACATTATGATATAATGGATATGCAGGGGCAATGAACAGCTTATGTGAACTAGGACAGGTTAGGTTAACTTGCCCATGTAAGTTAGACAGGTTTGGTAAACTTGTTTAGTATAATCGTATAGTGGGCTTAGGGCTGCACACAAGTACTCTCAAACATTCCACGGATCAGATTTGGTCTCATTTTTTTACTCATTAACGCAATCCCTTATTCACAATCTTGAAATTTCAAAAGCATCCCTTCTTGGGAAAATATTAGTCTGTTGAAATTCAAGGTATGATGGTCGTTACTGTTGCAGGGTAACCACCCCAACTGTGTGTTGCTTTGATTATAGCTACTTTTCTTTTTCTTGTTGGAGGAAAAAAAAAATCTAAAAGAGGAGACCAGTCATCTCTGTTTGTCTACACAACCCGTTTAGTCAACAGTCTGTTGTTTTTGCTTTCTTGTATATGTCACTGTGTATTTTACTGAATCTTAGGCTCTCTTTTTTCATATTGGTTTTTATTTTTACTTTTTTGTATAGTATGATTCTGTTGGTTGGGCACCAAAGGAATATAATCCAGATGACAATCAATCCACTGGAGGGGAGCAAAATGGCGGGGAGATGGCAGTACAACAAGATGGTTTGGCTCCACAATCTGGTTTTGTGTGGGATGAGGCATCTGGTTATTACTATGATGCTGCTTCTGGGTTCTACTATGATCCAAATACAGGTTCTTTTTTTAATCAATAAATACAGGTTCTTCTATTTGTATTTCGTTTTCCCCCTTGTTCCATTGCATCGTACAAAGATGGTTATGAACCAAGCCTTTATGATTTTTTTATTTTCTTACTTTTAAATCTTTTTGGTGGATTCATGGGACGAAAAGGTTCCGACCAAATTACATATAACATATCAAATTACTGAATTTTGATATCATTTCTGAGTGCTGCAAGTGTAGTGTAGATTCTAATTTCAAACTATTTCTTGGCTGTAATAATGGATGAAGTACAAAGTTCTTTCTCCGGTATTTTGGGTTGGAGGTGATGACGGTGGGAGAGTTATTCATGTTCTGGAAGTTGAATAGAAGGCAGGGGATGGCACAGGTTTGGTTTGCTTGGGTTAAAGCCCAACACCAATCCAACCCTAGATGCTCATGTAGACATAAATAACAATTTGATATGACCAATGGACTATTGAAACCAAGGAAACCCAGCCCAAAAAAAATAGGTTAAGTAGGCTTGTATTTGTGGTATGTGCTTGTTGACAAATGCTGTAAGAAGATACCAAGGCTCAAATGTTAAACAAGACTCCATTGAGAGCCCGTGTTGTTGACGGATATAGTCTGAAGGGAATCCTATAACCAGTAGTAGACAAGAAACTCTCCTATATGAATAAAAATATGCATATTTTTTTAAAATTCAGACAGATTAGTCAGGTTGGGTAAAATGACCATGACCACCCCTAATAAAAGTGTACCCCCTCTCCCGCCACCCAATGGCCTGAAGAGAATCCTATAACCAGTAACAGACAAGAAACTCTCTGATATGAATAAAAAGATGCAAATTGTTTGAATTCAGACAGGTTAGTCGGGTTGGGGGTGATTCTGTCAGACTCCTGATCTGCTTGCCTGAATATGTTTGGTGTATTTCCCTGTTATGTTCAAACTGGAGTATCTGTTGGTCCTTCAAGGCAGTGGGTCAGTCAATTTAAAGGCAGTGGGCCAGTCAATTTCAAACTGGACTAATTTTCTGCTGTATCACATAGAGCCTTTTCCTTTTCTCCCAATAATGCTATTGCTTGTAAAACTAAATTCAGGGACCAGGGAGCTTGAATAGTCATCTAATGTTTAAGTAGCTTAATATTGTGTGCTGTCATAGATGTTGTAATTGGATGAACTTATTCAATGAGTAGGTTTTAATTTGCCACTCTGTTCCTTGCCCTCACACACACACACATACACTCTCTCTCTCTCTCTCTCTCTCTCTCACGCACACACATGTGAGCACAATTTTCTAATCCATGGTTCATGGTTTATGCTTATGTACATTTTTCAATGTAGGTCTTTACTATGATGGGAACAACGGGATTTGGTATTCATATGACCAGCAAACTCTGCAATACATCCCTTGCACTGATCAGAATGATAACAAAACATCTGTTAATCAATCTGAGCTTTCCAAGGCATCGGATGCTTCAAGTAATAAAAAAGTAGTAATCTCTGCACCAGCTACAACCTCAACACCATTTGAGAAAGCTGCATCATTACCAGATGCCATCCAGGCAGCTGCAGAGAAAAAAGAGAAGGAAAAGGCAAAAGAGATCAAATTGGCTTCAAAGAGCAGTATTTTGGCTAACAAGAAGAAAATGAGTAATGTGTTGACGATGTGGAAGCAGAGGAGTCACGAAGGGCAAGCAACCCGTGTAGCTCTGGATGAGAATCAGCCAAGCGTATCAGCTGATGATAGGCCAGTTTCTTCTGTGCAGTCTACAAAGAGTAAGTTTAAAATTGACGTGACAACCACAAAGGAGAATACTACACCCAGTTTGAGGGTTAGTACAACTGTTTCTGCTGCAGAGACTGCTGGTTTGGAGTCTCCAGTCATGCCAAGGCCTGTGAGCAACAGCATAGGGGGCACACTGATGGGAGTCATAAGGGGCTCTGGAAGAGGTGTGGTGAAATCAGATACCTCGTTTTCAGGATCATCTGGCGGAGTTTCCATTCCTTCAACTTCTGCTGCATGCATGGTATCTGCATCAACAAATGCAGATACCCCCACGGTTTTGACTCCCTTCAGAACAGATGCATCTGCATTGGGTTCTTATACACCACCTGTGGCTGCTGGGAGTGGAAAGAGAAGATTTTCTGAACTGCCAGTAGCTTCTGCTTCTGCTCCTAAAGAGCCTCATACTGCATATAGGGATCGTGCAGCCGAGAGAAGGAGCTTGTATGGTTCTTCATTGTCGTTTGGAGATGATTCGTCGGATCTTGGTTTTGGGGAGTCAAGTAAGCTTTCTTAAGAATATGTTTCCGATCGGCTTGCCCCTTTTTTCTTTCTTACAAGCTCAATCTATAAATGTGCCTCAACCTAGTTCCAGTTATTAAAACCATCTATCATGCTACCTATCATACTGGTCTGCATAATTGATTGGAACATGTCAGCTAAATTTAGTTCTTCAGTACCCAAACAGGGTTTTCCAAGTTGGATGAGTCATTTTTCTATTTCACAATATTTGAATTGACTTGTAAAATATCCTTTGGTTACTATTTTCTACTGTCAAGATCGAGATTCTGCATCAAGGAAGGGTTCTTTTGATTCAATGCCCTTTCCCCCCGGTGTCGGTGGAGGACGTGCGGTTGGAGATGCCAACATTGACAGTTACGAGGTGATTACAGCTGAAAAAGCAATTGATGAGAGCAATGTGGGCAACAAGATGCTTCGCAACATGGGCTGGCACGAAGGCTTGGTATCATATCCTTCTTTTGCACTTGAAGATTATTCTAAATTTTTAGCTTACCTCACTACCTTTACCTCACGAAATAAATCCCAAATCTCCCAATTGCTGAAGGTGGAGTTTAATTCTTGTACGATAATAAGAAATCTTACCAGTTGAACGAGCTAACAAGCCCAAAATTCTATTAACTATGCATTTGCTTGAATGTTTTAAGAAATCCCCCTTGTTTCTCTGATGAAATGATTCCGCAGTTCCCTATTTTTTTTCTATAGATCAAAAAGTGAATTTGGTAGATGTTATTTTCTTATTTTCTAACCATATATATTTTGTGGATTGCGTCCTTTTCTCCTTTTGCTATTCATCTGATCACAGGGGTTGGGAAGAGATGGAAGTGGAATGGTAGAACCAGTGCAGGCTCAGTCGGTGGAAAGGAGAGCAGGACTTGGGAGTCAACAGAAGAAGTTAGATCCTACTCTGGAGGTGCAGGCTGGAGATAGTTACAAAACACTCATTCACAAGAAGGCACTGGCCAGGTTCCGGGAGATGTCGTAAGACAATATAAGGGAACCGTTATTTTGATTTATATTTTCCTTGGAAGTAGATATAGATCAGATATTAAGCTACTTAGGGATGATGACTGGAACAAAGCAATGGAAGCAGATGTGGAGCAAGTGGCCAATGTCGTCGATTATTGTTTATGTTTCCCTTTTTCAAAGGTCTCTTGGGGACCTTGTAAAAAATTGATCTCTAGCACTTAATAGTGTTACATTTTTTTGTGTGAAGGATAAAACTGTACCTTTCGTCTTTCAAATGTACATCGGTTTAGTGAAAGTAAAAGAATTACTTTTAAAGAAAAACAAATACTTCGATTTACATTTTTACAGAATTACTTATCAGGATACTAGCGATAAAAGAAACCAAATCTAAATCTAAACATAGAATGACACCTATCTCAAGTTTGTTGTAATCGTAATGGCAGGCGATACACGATCCACTTTCACACAAGTTCATTTGTTGAATTGGGATTCCAGTACAGAATCCTTTTGCCACAAGGACTCCCAAAAAGGGACTTCAACACAAGTTCGTTTGTTGAATTGGGATTCTAGTTCAGAATCCTTTTGCCTCAAGGACTCCCAAAAAGGAAAGATTCTGTTCTTTCAAAAAGTTCCTCTTGTTTGTACCAAAATTGGCTTTTTTACTCATGTTTTGCCAGAAAGACTTTAAGGAAAGCGTTTTTGACCTGAAAAAAAAAAGATTTTAAGGAAGCACATTGTTAGACGTCAATTCTTGTACAACTTTTGGCCAGTATTTGGCAAATACCCATTATTGCTCAGCCAGAGCATGGAACCCAGGTGCTTATGGACGGCGTTTTCGTCAAATCGGCTCATGAATGTCACTCAGATTCTATGGGTCCGAACAACAAATTTCGTTGCTGAGATAAAGTTGGCTCCTTTATGAAAGTTGTTCCAATGGAAGTCTAGTATAACATATGCAACTTTGGGATCACTCTGACTATTGTAGCCCTTTCGGACTGTCACGCACTGTAACATGTTTAGAGGAGTTAGTTGGCTGCGAACCAACCATTTTTAGTTAATGAAGAAATATGGGGGATAAAGAAAATATTAAAATAAGGAAAAAGGCTTTGACAAACTATGTTGATGTTCACATGTAAAGGAAGAAAACAATTAAATATTGTTTGTGAGAGCAAAAAGAGAGAATAAAGAAAGAAAGAAGAAGGAAGGAGACCGGCAGTAGGAACCAAGTCCTAGGCATCTCCGCCATGGCCAAATGTTGCCCTCAAAACATGCAAAACCCATCTTCGGCCATGAACAAAAAAAAAATTTGCCCAAATTTTGAGGGCCACATTTAGCTATTTAACCCTCCTCCCATGCCATTTGTAGTCCAGCTATAGTTAGGCTAAATTTTTTGGTGGGCCCAGCGGCCAGCGCATGTGATGTCCAAAGAAGGGAAAGTATAATGTGTGGGTGTGAGCAATAGAACCTCTCGTGCAACTGCAGATCCAAAGGCTGATATTAAAAACGTACTAACGTCAGCTAGCCCTTACCTATTTTTTTAACCTTCTAAATATTTTTAAATTCGTATTTTTTTAATATATAAATTTTTTTTTATATCACAAATGGTCCCTGAGGTTTGCGAAATTATCACATTTGGTCCTTTATGTTTTTTTATGACATTATTGGTCCCTTATGTTACACCTCACACATCAATTTAGTCCTTCCGTCACGTTCAGTCAAAATTTTCCGTTAGATTGCTGACGTGGATTAAACAATGTTTTAAATGTTTTGGGTTTTATCACAAATGGTCCCTGAGGTTTGCGAAATTATCACCTTTGGTCCTTTATATTTTTTTTTGACATTATTGGTCCTTATGTTACACCTCGCATATCAATTTGATCTCATCATGAGATTTCGTTAAATGTTTTTGTTAAATTGCTAACATGACACAAATGTATTGAATTTTGAATTACTAAACCCTAAAATTAATTGAGTAAACCCTATTAACTAACTATTTATTGAATTACTAATTTACCCTAAAATAAAATGACCAAAAAATATATATTGAATTTTGAAACAAATATAATTTTAATAAGTACACCCTACTCACCATATTGAACCTTAATCAAATCAATCCCTCATATCAATTAGTAATTCATTGGACAATAACATAATTAAATTAAATTTATCTCAAGGACAACAAAATAACGGCCTACAGAATTGGCAACTTTTAGTACCATGTTCTCCAGACCACATTAATGTCGGCAAGTTTGCAATGTCTATCTAATATGATATCTAGCACAACACATCATGCCCAATACCAAGAATTACACATCTAAATTTATTTCTCTTCTGTTTCATGCATGATCATGAACTTGAAACCCTTTTGAATACTACAGCCTCTAGACTCCTTATCTATCAAACTTGTTATAAACTCAATTCTCAAATGGGTTTGGTGTTGTGTGATAGTGTATCAGGGGTATTTTTGGTAGTTAAATATGATGTACTTAGTTAATTTTACATTTTGATTTAAATATTATGGCGCACTTAGATCATAGGATGTATTCAATTAATTTTAGGGTTCATTTAGCAGTACTATAAAAAATTAGTTTTTGAAACGTTAATTTTTTTTTCTTCTCTTTTTACGTTTTAAATGTATATAAAATTCTTTTTTCTTTCAAAAAAATTATGAACATATTCGAAAATTTATTAAGATTCCTTCAAGATAAGACGTGCCACATGGACATGAAAGTTTATCAACGTACATGTGTCATATCTAGAATATTATCTCTAAATAGTAGTTTAATTAAATTAAACAATATATAGTATTGGAATGTATGTGTATTGTACTATAGTTTTCCTCAAAATAATAAAATATGGAGTGCCCTAAAATATAGCTTGCATGGCTGGAGATGAAAAAAATTTAACCCTACACTACTCTTTAAAAGATTAATATTTTATATGCTAAAATTATAGCCCTAAACTACATTTAGCCTTATGATTGGGGGTGGCCTTACAAGCTTCAAATGCACCACTTTACTCCTCACCCTAATACCCACATTTTAAAAAGGCTATGTGAAAACAAATTCTCCCACTTAAAGTTCAAACTCGTTGGTTGGCTTTCCTTTCGAAACAGACCCCCCAGTTCGACAAAGAATCCATAGGTTCATTCCCTCTGTCAATTGGCTTGGAAACAGCAAGTGCTAAAATCTACAATAACACTTTCCGAATAATATAATCTTGTTTTCAATGGCCATCCGATGTAAACCTAACCTCTGCATTCTTGCATTCAGTTTTTGAAAGCTCATAATCTAGCTCGAGTTAAAAGTCCTTCGTTGACTGGCATTTCCTTGACTTTTGACAATCTTTTTCCGAAATTTTTTGCTAGGTTAGATTGTTGTTTTGCAATGTAGTAATTTTCCTCTCCCGAAATTGTCTTATCATGAGAAACTATACTGTTATGAAGGTCTTTGTCTATTTATACTGTTTCTCTAGCTGTTACTAAGCATGCTTCTTCCCACTTCTTGGTCGAAGGTATTTCTGTCTTTCGGCACCACTAAAGGCCACTTGTAGTTATCTTATTGGATGAAAAGTTTATACTCACAAATGCCCCTCATCTCTTCAAATTTCCTAAGTAGATGTTCAACAGACTCAGAAGAGACGCATTCCATCAATTCACTGGGTGAGATCTTCCACATGTACGAGGTCTGAAAGTTGAACGGCCAGGTCCAGCTCCAAGCTAGGATTGTAATTAATTTGATCAAATAACTAGAACGGAGCATTTATCTGGGAAAAATAACTACAACAGAATCACTTATCTGGGAAGAACATGGTCAAAAAATTTCCTCATATCCCTTCTAAGATCGTTCTATTTCGTAGGCAGAAATGATATATATAACGTAGAGAATACATAAAAGAGACCTTCAAAGGACCAGGGTCCAGCTCCAAGCTAGCTAGGAGTGGGTATAAGCAGATCCACGATCTCGTTTCTAGACTGGAAAGATAAAAATGACATAATTTGCAAACATTATGTTAGGTGATAGTGTTTCTCCAGAAGAGAAGGCATACATCTCAACATTACTAAAAATATAAAAACAAAAGCCAGAAACAAACATTCCAGGAAGCTCATGCTTTATCAAAAATATTGGATCACTCTAGTGCGCCATGCATTCTCCAAAGACTTGGTTGGCTACCAACTATGAGTCACAGTAAAACATTTAAAAATGACAAAATATGAAAATTTAATCTTATCAAGAGATTTCAAAATCGACAACCAAAATAAAATCAAAATGTCATTGACATCGAAATTTATAAAACCGTTCACCACATTCGCCCAAGGTAACTTCTTTATACACATACAATCATACTATTTTAACACATACAATTATACTAATTTAAGGGTAAGAAGGGAACACAAAGCCCAAACAATATTTGTACGCTTATGTTACATTGTAGTTGTTGAATCTTTAGTTTTATTATTTAAACTTAATTTAATCATCATAATTGCTTGAAGAAATTTTATCACCTTGCACTAAAATGGGGAAATTTGAAAAACCCAGAGGCTGCCTCGACCAAAGACCAGAATCGCTAGCGCAACCAGAGAGCAGCTACAGCGAGGCTGCTTGTCACCAGTCTTGTCCTTCAAGTGGGTGGCCAACAAACGTTGGCTTTAAGCAATTGACCGACCACTAGTATCCATGAATAATAACTCAAGGTTGATGTTTACTCACATCATTGTATAGCATCTATATATACTTAAATGTTAAATATACAGTTATTTCCATTTGATTACCTATTTCACAAAAAGGCTACTTACAATATAGGAGCCAGTAGCCAACTAAGAAGTATACTATTCATTTCCGGAAGTGAATATTCACAACTGATGGCTGCAACGACAAATTCTGCTGAATAGAGAGAGCAAGAGGCAAAAATGGATGAAAAATAAATGAAGAAATCTTTTTTGTTCGACTGTCTGTGCTACCAGCTTCTGGACCTATTGAAAAACCCAGAGAATCATTTATGTGCTTAGTTTGAAAAGTCAATTAAGCAAACACACCACACACATGATCAACCAAATCAGAAAACAATAGTTTCGATGACATGATTAACATTCCTATATCAAATTAGCCAAATTGAAAACAATTCAGCCGTTCAACTATTATCACAATCATTCCAGTGAATCATCAGAAGCAGTGTTCGTCTATTTATCTTATCAATTGGATGACTCAATGGTTTATGACTTGGATGATCCTTAAATGGAAACCTAAAAATGCATGGTTTCAAAGATTTGATCACATTGCAAGCTACACCTCACATGTGGCCGTTAAATTAAATCCTCAACTTAGGTTTTTTAATCAATCACCAATGTGTGTGTGTGTGTGGGTCAGGTTCAAGGAACGCACAAAAAGCCATATTTTTTTACACACTTTCTCAACCTTCACATCTTTTATCATCCAATGGATAGAAATGCATCTCACACAACAAATAACTTCATTATTTTCTCTCTTTGTTTATTTGTTGCACACTTGACGAGGTGGGGCATTTAGTCTCTCTCATTAAATGTGGTGTCTCGTTCTCCTTGATTATTTTGTTTCCGTTTAATTCTGAAACTAAGCACTAAACTTCATCTGGTTTCTTCTCTCTTACTTAAATCAAACTTTTTTGTACTCTAGCCGGAAATCATGCATTAGCAGAGTTTGTCACTCTCATCAAACTTTACAAATTCAGCCTCCAGTAGAGAACCAAACTTCCCGTATCAGAGTGGCATCACATTCAGAAAAAGATTGAGTTGGAGGAAGAGGAAACTGTCATTTTTCCATAATTTTCTTCAAACCCACAGCTTATTTTGAGGAAGTGAAATAAATCCGCTCAAGTTTTCAGATATGTTAATGAAATTAACTGGGTAGATGGGTTAAATTGTACGTGTGAATTTTTAAAGTGCAAGGGTGATTAAGTCATGAGCTACATAATGGAATAAGTAGCGTTCAGGTTTTGAAATGGAGGAAGCAGTGTAGACAGACCAACTTTTGGTTTTACGTTTGTTTTTTTTTCTAATTTAATTTTGTCTTATTATTATTTTTTTTAAATTCAATCATGGGGAGAGGAGAGAGTGTAGGAGAAAAAATGGTGAGACAGAAGAGGTTTCCTTTTGGGTAAGAACTGAGAAGAGTTTTATTTTCTGTCAGTTTGCAGAGAGGAAAAGAATTAGTAAGGAAGAAGAACACATCACATTTAAAGTGGAAAGATAGACCAATATTGAATAATGTGCAGTAAAATACTTTTTATTCTTCAGGATTGGTGGAGAGAGGCAAGAGATAAGAGAATAAGAATTGAAGCACACTTTTTATTATTATAAGTTTCAAGATATATTAATTTCTTTGAATGTGTTTAAATCTAATGGCTTAAAATGTATAATTTGTGTTAAAAATGTATGTCCCCCTGATCCTGGCCCTATATACGTATACATGTATGTGTGTGCGTGTATGTGTACATTTAAATAACAATACTGGTAAATGATAGATACCTGTCTTGATTTTAAATTTCAGCGTATTTGGTGGCCTTCTTAAGATGAACTTGATGGGATGGTCTGTTGACTGTCTATGCCGATCAGTCGCAGAAATCAACTGCACCAGAAACACATTTGAAATTGTGAAATCTTAGTAGAGGGGGTTGAATTGACAAAACTGATTTGCCCATAAGGTATCAAAATGCATTGTGTCACATTCAGGAGAGAACCACACAAGAATAAGCGGGTGTGCTTACCCGTCTACTTTTCTAAATTTTCAATTGTTTCGACTGCGTGTGCGTTACATGTCAACAAACTGGGGCTCCTGAGAAACCCTACGACTTTTGGGAGGCAAGAAACTCTAGTAAATAGCTGGACACAGCCTTGAAGAATCTAACCCTAGACAACGTGGGAACAAACCACAGGCCTGACCACTAGACTAAACCCTCGTAGGTTATATCACAGTTCAAAAAAAGTTTCTTTGATTATTTTGATTGATTTGATTTGAGCACACAGCATAAGCAATTCACATGACTACACAAAAACCAAACATAGAACCTGTACTCAAACCTGCCACAAACAGTCAACTAAAAAATTTGTGATGTGGAAATAGCTTTCCTTACAAATGGATTAAAAAATATCCAATTACATAAAGGTAGAATATATAACGCGATGTCATTTAAATTTTGCACAGGACAAACCACAAAGCAAAACTCCATCAGATGCAATTTGATGCAAGAAGATTGGTCTAATTGATGTTTCTGTAGTTATGTTTTTATAATAGTTTTCCAACGTTTAAAAAATTAAATTAGTTTATTTGGTCAACTTGACTGCGTAGGTTTGCTCTTGCTAAAGATAACTGGAGCATACACATAAAAAGACTATATTCCTCAGCTTAATGCAAACAAAGCAGTTCATGGAATGGGAAATTTTTAGTTTCTGAATCAAACCTTTTCATCAAAGCGAAAAAGAGATTGGTCAAAGTAGGGAGAAGGGCTCTGCGACTGACAACTAAAAGGCAAAGAAACTAGCATCTTCTTCACAAACTGCAGGATCATCAACTGATTATATGTGAGGTTTGGGCACATAGCTAAATACAGAATGCAACCACAACATTAACAAATAAACCGTGTTATCATGCCTTAATGATACAAAAGTAACTGGAAGCATTGCTATGAGGTTTGGGCACAGAAGGTAACCATACTGATAAATAAACCTTGCTATCATGCCTTAATGATGCAAAAGTAACAGGTAGCATTGCTGTATAAAATATGCATGTAACTAATTCTGATAGTGAAACTTCACCTGCAAAGAACTACTTGCTTTATTTTTAGCACTTCTTAGTTGCTCCCGAGCATGCATGTTATTTGAGTGGGATGAAATGAAATTCAAATACAATGAATTTCTTGATGTTGCATGAAAGTGGTCACAGAATTGCTCAAACAGGAGATAAAGCTCATCTGCCGTATTCTACAAGGAAAAATGTCAAATAAAGCAAAGTCTTGTTTTGATCTGTGAAAACAGAAGAAAGAAATTGAAAAGAAACAGAAAACAATTGTCACAAAATTACCTGATAAAAAGCTGCAATTTCAGTTGTCTCCATGTTATATACCGCAAAAAAGGCTGGGTGCTGATCAGCATTACGTGATACCTGCTCCAACAAAAAAAAAAAAAAAAAAAAAAAAAAAAAACAAATATTATCAATTCAGCACAAAGCCCATTGAGCACAAGAAAGCAAACTCTGGGAAACCCACATTAATACTGATAATGTTTGTTAGTTTACCACTATCCCGAAAGCTTAAGCTGTTGTGATGTGTGCCAGCATTTGTACAAAAGTATCTTGTGACATTTGTGCAGTAGGAACATGTCAAAGACTACAAATGAAGAATCTTGGAGCAAGATTCATATTTTCCAAAGTGACACCAAACATCTACAACTAAATATAAAAAATACCAGAGTGACCAAAAATCTACAACTAAATATATAGAATCTTGGTCAAATTCAGATGTCAACTCTGTTGAACAAATGGTACAACTACAATGGATAGGGTGACTCATTCCAGAAAGCATCTGGGTTCAATACGACAGAGTAATTTATCCCCTCTCCTTCAGGGACCCTATCACAGATGGAGGATTAAATTATGCGATCAAAGAGTGTCCAAACATGAAGTTAATATTTCTTAGAACGAGTATGATATGAACGTAATGCTAGAAAGAAGTCTCACCCCTCCATCTACACTACCAAACTTTATTAGCAGGTGGTGCCGGTCCAAGAATTGTACCTGTCCAAGAGTTGTGTACAAACTTGTTACATGTCATATTTGGTGCGCATTATCAGATTGCCTGTTATATGGAGCAGTGAAGATTATGCAAGTGATTGCTGAACTATATACATCTACATTTTAAAGAAAAATAATGCAAGCCTTACCTTCCAGATCACCAAGTCAACATAGTCTTGGAAATGGAAATAGAACTTCTTCTTCAGGGATTGGACCCTCTGGAGTGAAAAAGTCGTATAAGTTAGATTAATTAAATTAAAAACATTTATTGCAAAACATACAAATAAATTGATTGCATAAGAGCTAATGACAAACAAAAAATAATGCACATAGGCAAGAACAAATAAATGTTCCAATTGAAGCATAATATCAAGTAATTCAAAACAAATAAATGCCTGGTGCAAGATTTTCATTTGGGTTGGATGCTTAAACATCATATTAAATACTTGTGCTTCTATCTTAATGATTTTCTGCCTATCATATAACCCAGATCTTTTAAGGGATTGGCACTGTTGTCTGCATATTAGTGTTACCCTAAAGTTTATAGGATGGTGGCACATTTAGGTTCATGGTACAGCTTTAGGAATGTGATATGCTTTTGTTTCCTGGTAATTGATATGCTCCAGTGCCTTGTACTAGCTAGGTTATGGGGCATACTTAGGTTACTATTTAAGATAGTGTTTCACTTTGGATCACTTATCGTTCAGATCATTTCTGCACAATCTGGAAGTAGATCAGTATATGCATGCCTGAGAGCATAAATACTTACAGGCAAGAACAAAAACGCTAAACATTTTTCCACCTAAATTTGAATTTTCTGTGCCAAAAAGTAGGCTAATATTCATACAATTCTATTTTATAAAAACTAGACGCATAAAGTGTACCATATCCACATAACCCAAGAGCTTACTAAGAGAATGAAAATGGTTTCAGAAAATGCCGGTAAACAAATATTAATGTAAATCACATCTGCTGCAACCCCATCTAAAAGATATTCCAAAGTGATGTGTTGCAGCAGCTTGGAAAACATATTCCAAAGTGCCATGGTAAGATAAAGCATTTAAATAACAATGAACCATAGAGTGACAGAGATAACCAACCAATGCCTGATCTGGTTCTTCATTCCATATTCCTCTAAATATGAAAGAGAGCAACCGCTGTTTGATTCCACTAAGAAAGCAATAGTCTGAGGAAGGCTCACTCTGATGTAAACCATTCTCAACAGGATTCTCAGGCAGTTGATGCAGTTTACCTTTTTCATGACTAAGCATACTCTGCCATCAATCAAAAGTTGATTTGTCAATCGAATGCTCGACATATTAAACATTAAAAAGTGTTTCTAATCACCAAACTTTGTCAATTTCATGATAAAATAAATGAGGAAAAATCAGCATTAGTTACTAAACTGTGTGGATGATTAAATGAAAAGGCAAGGAAAATGTGGGTTAAGGCTGTAGAGATCCTTATTTAGTGGTCCAGGTACAGTTAGGATGGCAGAGTTTTCGGTCTCAGGAGCATATTGCTCTGATGAAGTGTTGGGAATAGAGCAAGATAGGAAAAAACAATCTTCTTATTATCCACCGTGTTAGAGTATAACACACAGGTGTTTATACAGAATCCAGGACATAAAATCTGCTCTAAAATTAGCCTATAATCAAGCTTAACAAAGAAGCCTTCAATTATGACTTCAAGCTTAGACCAAAATCAATCTCCCAGCTGTAAACCACCTATAATAATGGCACACAATAGCCACAAACAGAATGGAAAACTAAGTTTTGAACCTGTAGTACAAATTTATGTTGCCTTCAATTTTTACTTCATTATTGCTATTTTTAGAAAAACACAACACAAGAGTCTTCATCAACAACGAATTCAGAGTTTCTATAGATTGATCCTATTAGACAAGATATTAGCAAATTCCATTCATCCAAGTCTCAGTAAAGGCTTGAAATATATGCCACTAACCTGAGTGCTTGAATTGAGAAAAAGCTCATCATCTTCACGACAAAATGTCCCAATGGCTCGTATGTCAACAAGGTTCCCGGAGTCCCTGATTTGCAGTATGTGTATTGTTTGATAGCGAATTGACACAATTGCCAGTAAATCATCGTACAAGAAGACACCCATGTTATGGGCCAGGTTAATAAAATCGTTGTGAAAGCACTTCTGATCCAGAACAACTCCATCTTCCAATCTAAGCATCAGAAGGATTATCAAACTAATAAGTAACGCATAGACTAAGATTCCAAAAACACCCAATAACATTTCAGTTTCATAGGTTCTCTGTTAAATTATAATCTATACAAGAAAAAAACAATAGCAGACCTCAAGAGGTGAAAAGTTATCTTTTCTATTGAGGGGACACCCTGAACAGCTCCTCCAACAGGCGCATCATGATTTTGTGTAGTAGAAGTAGCAAATAGTCCAAATTGGTTACTCTCCATGTAAAGAAAAAAGTCCTTGCATATAAGCTCATTGCTAGAAGCAAGTGATACACAGTACAGTTGGCTGAAGAAGCTCTCAAACCTCTTTGCTTTTTGGGGAAGATCATTAGTATTGCATTCTTCTTTGCATGAATATGAAAGCCACGTGGGTCTATAAACAATCAGATCCTGATGATTTCTACTGAAACATATGAGGTATTGACCATCCTCAGTGATTTTACGGTATAGATGGTCTGGGCACTCAACTTCATATATGGTACAATTAGGGACTAAATTCTCATAAAATCGCCTAGTATGGTGAACCTGCAAGCATTAGCATTACAGGTAGTACTCAGGATTCTGTAGTGTATGAACAGAATATTGCAACATTTTTTACCATTCCACTTCTGTCCCCTATTCATTTCTAGATATTCTAAGTCTTATATAAACATGTCATAAAAGAAAGAGATAGAAAAAGAAGAAAAGATAAATTTACATGAAGTTAGAGATAAAGATCACCAGAGAGGCAAGACCTTGGCTTTCTGGAAAAAAATGAAGATATACATAGGAAAGAACAAAATTTTTCTAATTCTACTGAACAGGAAGCGGAAAAATATATTAAACAACCCAGAAAAATCAAACAAGCAACAAAAAACAGTAGATAAATAAATAAATAAAAGCCTGAAGCAAAAAGTAGTTGTCCATGCAGCTTTATATTAATAATAATATAATAACAGTAACAAGAGGTAAAGAGTAACAAGAAGGTACACTAGTGCCAGGAGCAACAGTGGAAATTTGGCGGTCGAAAATCCTGGCAGCAACATTGTGTCTTCTAAACATTACTATTGATGGCTTCTACTGAAGCTGGAAGCTGAAGCTCAATTGATATTCTATCTACAAACAATTACTTACTTATTAGAAAAGAGAAAATGCTTCTATTAATTGAAAATGGAGAGACATGAGAATTTATTACAGATCTAGGTTTCCGAAGGCGTTGCCTAGGTGCTCGTCGGAGCTCAGGCGTTCTGTTATTTAGCTGTTTGCACGCTTATCATTTGCATCGGCGGCGAGCTTCAGTGCCGCTTTGTGGCTCTGTGAGGCGCATCTGCGCGAGGAAGAAGAAGGCCACGCGTCGTTTTGAGGTGCTGCTGGAGTTTATCTTCTAACACGCTGCCCCTGTCTGATTATTATTATTTCTTTAAAGAACGCTGCCACTACTTTAAAAGAAACGCTGAGTTTTATGAGCAGCAAAATGTTTTTTTTTCTTTTTTTTGGTTTAGCAATCTAACTTAGCCATGATCCCCTCTCTCTTCCCCGATAATACATTCCATTTCAGAATTCTCCCCAACCATAGGCTGCAAGTGGGGTACAAGTTGTATTGGAAATTCCTGTTCAAAAATTTCTGATTTTGGCAAGTTGAAATCAATTCCAACATTCGAAAGTTCCAAAATCCGAAAATTCAAAAAAAAATTGATTGGAATTGAAATGTATTTTAAGATTCCGAGTTCCAAAATATATCAAAGGTTTAAGTTTAGACTACATATAATGACTAGTTTTATGTTGAATTTGATATGACTTAATGACCAAATAGACATGAACAAGCTATTTCATAAAGGATAACAACATATAAGTGATATTATATAATAGTTTTTCAAGCTTTTACGTATGATTATTCAATTTTAACCTTTCAAATAGTTAGACATGTTTAAAATTTTCAATGGTTTTCCGAAATATGAAAGTTTCGAAATTTTCCACAAATTCCGAAAATTCCGAGTTTTCCAAATTGGAATGGATGTTGAAATTTTGAAACTTTTTGAAATGGAAATGGAAAAGAATTTTCATTGCAAAATTTTTTTAGAATGGAATTGGAATCCCCTTATTCTAGTATGATCCATCTAAAAATCAGCCCTAGCTGCAAGTTAGCCATTCTATTCATCTATAACTCTTCGCCTCGAAGCTCCACTTCAGTTTAAACATATCTCTCCTACAGTTATATATATATAATTATTTGTTATTGATTATATGTCTAGATTATTTTTAAATTTTAAATTTATTGCTTATCCCATTTCGTATATGTGATAGAGTAGAAATTATACATGCATGCATTGTTGATACTAAATATCCATTGGGCTTGCCAAAAAGAACCCAGGAAATAGGCCTGGGCATGGTTTAGTTTGGCCCAGTTCTCAACCAAATTTAGAACTAGAATAGTAATGTTCATTCGGTTAGGTCCAGTTCAATTGTGATGAAAAATTAATTATTTAACCGAACCAACCCGGATCAGTTCAGATCGGGTTCAGTTGCGGTTTTCCCGATTTGGACCGGCAAACAATCAGCTCTTTTTTTTTTTTTTTTTTTTTTTTTTTTTTTTTTTTTTTTCAAACTTATCCATCAACAATCAATCTTCACGGGTTCCTCATTAGTCATTTGTCAGCGCGTGGTTGAAGGAAAAAAACCCCAAATCAGATTTTAGTATAAAAAAAACAAAAATCTTGCAGCTTCTCTTGCTGCATTTTTCCAACAACAAAATGAAAAACAAGTCCTCCAATCTATCAAGCAAAACAGATCTAGCAAAACAAAAGAGAAATCAGACAAAGAGGAGAGGAGAGGAAGAGGAGAAGAAGAAGTTGAGGCTAGGTTTTCTTCAGGGGAGAGAGAGAGAGAGAGAGAGAGAGAGAGAAGAAGAAGAAGAAGAAGAAGAAGAAGAAGAGGAAGAGAAGGATAGTTTAAAAAAAACCAAAAAAAAAAAGGAGCAAGAAGAAGAGAGAGAGAGCGTGGACATATGGAAGGGAGAAAAGAAAGAAGGAAAAAAAAAGAGAAAGAGAGAAGAAGAAGATAGGGATAGGAAAAAAAAGGTGGAAGAAGAAGAGTGAGATAGTGCCGACAATGAAGAAAGAAGAAATGAGAGAGAGGAAGAAACAAGAAGGGAAAGAAGGAATGAGAAAGAAGAAATGAGAGGAGGAGGTGGACAGAATTGAGAGAGAGAGAGAGAGAGTGTGAGAGGGGTGAGAAATGAGAAACAAAAAATATTGATTTGATTAATTATGGCATAGGGAACAGACCTCAATAAACAACTCACAAAAAATAAGAAAAGATCCCATACAAGAACCCTTCTCTCTTCCCAACACATCACATCACACATGCACTAGACAACCACCCAACTTGCTTTATAATATCAATTCTTTTTTAATGTGCAAGACATACACGAATCATAGAGCCCCACGTGTAAATAAATAATAAGAAATATTTATATTTAATATGGCCGGTCTGGTTCAGTTTTTTCAACGATTGTTGACTTTTTTGTCAACTCGATTTTTTTGGTTTTTTACTACCCAATTCGACTCGATTGTTCGATTTTGCGGTTTATATGCCCACTCTTACTAGGAAATAAAGCCAAAATTACATGGGGAAGTAATTGGGCTGAAATGGCTAAAGGTCAGCCCAAGATACCTTACTTATGTTAGACAAAGCTTATCTGCTTGTTCAAATTCAAACTCTGTAACAGGTGTGGATAAGGAGTCTTAGTCTTTGTGGACTTCTTTAGTTGTACTCTAATATGGTTTTTGTTTGTATTTCAAATGTATGATTTTGGCTCCCACATATATAGGGATATGATGTAATCTTTGTACCTGATACATTTGTTTTGCTGATATAAATAGGTGTTCCATCATGTTGATGGAGATAAGCCCATCAAACTATTCTTGAGTTCTCTGTTGTTTTTCATGGTATCCAAAGCCTTCAGTCTCAAGACTTGAAATTTATTTCCACGCTTGTTTCAAACTCATGGCAACCAACAATTCCCACACCAGCAATGTTGTATCTGCTCCTTACATACCCACCATCGTCAACATCAAACTGATCGATCTAACTATCCATTATGGCTAGCTCAGATTGTTCCTCTTTTGAGAAGTTGGGATCTTATGTCATTCGTTGATGGCACTAGTGAATGTCCTCCTAAGAATGTTACTGGGAGTACTGTTGTGAATCTTGCCTACTCCACCTGGGTTCAACAAGATCAACTGATCCTTAGTTGGATCAATAGCTCTCTGACTTCATCTGTTCTCTCTACCATGTCAAGAAATCAGACTTCTCGCACAACTTGGCAAGCTTTGGAGCATAGATATGCCTCTGCCTCTTAGAATAGAATCTTGCACCTACGTAATGAGTTTCTTCGAACCATGAGGGGTGATTTGTCCGTGGGTGACTACCTTGATCGCATGAATGCTATTGGTGACAACTTGGCTCTTTCTGGAAGGCCAGTGGATGATGATGAACTTATCCAAATTATTATGAATAATCTCGGACCAGCCTATGAAATAATCGTGAGTGCAGTGCAAGCTCGTGACACTCCAATCACACATGACACCCTTAAAGCTCTTCTACTGTTCCTATGCCAGAGAATGGACCTACGTCTTTTGTTACTGCTCGTGGACATGGTGATTATTGAGGACATGGGCATGGTGCTACACCGCCCACTTGTGGTATTGATTACAATGAGACCTTTAGTCCAGTTGTGAAAAATAGTATTATTCGCTTGGTTCTAAGTTTCGCAATCTCAAATAAATGGCTAGTACTATTTGCATGGTTTCCTAACAGAAGACATGTATGTGCGACAACCTATCAGATTTATTAATTCGCAGCTTCCATAACATGTGTGCAAGTTGCAACGCAGTCTGTATGGATTGAAACAAGCGCCCAGAGCTTGGTTTCAACAATTTTCTAACTATTTACTTGAACTTGGTTTCCAAGAATCAAAGTATGATTATTTCTATTTGTTTACAATCAAAAGGGCATCTATTTGATTATGTTAATAGATGTTGATGATATTTTGGTGATAGACAATGACCAAACACATGTTTCTACACTTATTAGACAACTTGGCACTTCATTTTCCATGAAGGATTTGGGACCATTACACTATTTCTTGGGAATTGAAGTTGATTGCAGTGGTGATTCAATGCACTTGACGCAATCCAAATATGCATTGGACTTGCTCTCTCGCACAAAATTTTCTGAAGCAAAGCCTATTTCCACGCCCACCACAAGTGTTCATAAGTTGAGTGCTCTTGACAGTGAGTCATATTCTGATCTGGCTTTATATTGAAGTGTTGTCGGTGCCTTGCAGTACCTTACAATCACATGACCTGATCTTTCTTATCCAATCAACCAAGTTCGTCAGTTCATGCATACCTTTGATCATGGATTAGTGTATCGGCATGGTGACTTGCAACTTCATGCCTTTTCTGATGTGGACTATGCCTGAAATCCAGATTCATGACATTCCACATGTGGTTTTTGTATATATGTGGGCAAGAATTTGGTTTCATGGAATTCTAAGAAGCACAGGACTGTGTCAAGGTCTAGCACATAGGTTGAATATAGACAAATTGCGTATACTGTTGTGGAACTTTCTTGGTTTCATTCTTTATTTCGGGATTTACATCTTCGTTGATCCCCTCCCCAAATTTGGTGTGATAATATGTCCTCTCTTGCTATGGCTTCCAATCCTGTGTTTCATTCTCGAACCAAACATTTAGAGGTTGATTATCACTATGTTTGAGAGAAGGTGGTTCGAGGAGAATTGCTTGTTCATTTTGTTTGTTCACAAGATCAGATTGCTGATCTTTTTACCAAAGGGTTGTCTACTGTGCGATTCAAATACTTGGTGCTCGTCCTATCTGCTTGCGGAGGGATGTTAGACAAAGCTTATCTGCTTGTTCAAATTCAAACTCTATAGTGGGTGTGGATAAGGAGTCTTAGTCTGTGTGGACTTCTTCAGTTGTAATCTGATATGGTTTTTATTTGTATTTCAAATGTTTGATGTTGGCTCCCACGTATATAGGGATACAATGTAATCTTTGTAAATGATACATTTGTTTTGCTAATATAAATAGATGTTCCATCGTGTTAATGGAGATAAGCCCATCAAACTATTCTTGAGTTCTCTATTGTTTTTCAACTTACACTAGAGGAGACCCAAAAAGGGGTAGGGAAGGCCCACTAGGGTTTTACGCTATCGAGCCCAGCACATATAGAGTCCAGATACCTCCCTTTAGAGGCCCATCCATGGGAAACTGAAAGACCATTAAAGGCCCACATAATATTCCACTAACGTACAGTCTTTTTCCATGGAGAGACACACGTCAGACCGTCACTGGCCACACACTCAGAAGATGTCACATCATCATCAACTCCTTAATCCCACATTGAAATAGGACACAAGTGAGGTCCAACTTTCCCAGTATAAAAAGGGAGTACTTTTCACCTAAAAATGTAGTCTAAACATTCTCCTTACCAGAGTACAATACTTTTGGCAACCTCCTTTAAGGGAAAAAGACTAACTTAGGCATCATAGGATGGTTGATAACAACCACCACCTTTTTAGTGACCATTTTTTGTTTCGTTTCCAAAAGAGACACCAACCGCAGTCTTACTTGGTTATTCCAAGTAAGGCCAAAAAGCATACATAAGTGTCGTACCTAGCTAAGTCTATCCTTGATGTAAGGTTGACTTGGTTTGACTCACTCTGACTGGTTGGACAAATTTTACTCATCAACATGCATCATATTTGTACCTTTATAACCATCTTAGAACGCATGGTTTGATCGTGTTTAGTGTACTTGTCACTATAAGCACCTACACACTTATCTTAGTATCTCTACACGTAATGATTTGAGACTAGTCATTCTCTCAATTAAGCATATATATTGCGTACTAGTCTTTGTGGATGATCAACGCCCAATTGATAATCCTATGAACAGGAACATTTAGGAAATAATGTGGAAGTATGAAAGGTCTCCTTATATCCAATATAATTTCATAGCTCTCAAACTATTTCATATTCCAATGACTTGTTGTTTTATTGTTATGATAATATACCTAATATCATGGTTGAAAACAACGATCTTGCCCATTAGTGATGGTAAAATATTCAAAAAGCAACATCACATGTTTGGCATTATGGCATATTTCTAACATCAAGAAGGGTCATGAAGCCTTTTTTATGGTGGCCTTAAATGACTAGATCCTTCTAGGATTAAGACTCATTGGAGGTGGATCTGAACTACCCTAGCCCCTTTAGATTAGAAGTCTTTAGCTTGTACATTTTAGGTACTAATTCTTGTCAAATATAAATTCGGATGAGTAAGTCTTATCCAGAGTCAGCCCAAATTCCAATATAAGTTTGACTACGAATAATTATTATTATTTTCCTCCGAATAGTGACATAAATCTCTAAAAAATTTGTATTCTAACATGGACTAAGAGTGATGTAAAATAAAATTGTTTAAGGTAGTCCTTGATGGGTAAGAAACTTAACCTAAATCACATATATAAGCTTAGGTCCCCTCACTAGCTTTTTTTTGCCGCACATAAGATTTGTTATCCCTATTGTAACCCTATAAAAGGAAAAAAAAATAGTAAGGAAGACTTTTATCTCTGGAAATTATTCAACGACTTAAGACTTGAATAAAATACCATATATTTCCTTTTTAACTTATTTTTTCTTTTATTTTTCAATTTGAACTTTAACAAATAATGGTTTTGTGCTAAAAAGTTATTTACGTAAGGCAAATAGAGGAGGTTCTTGCTTTATAATATATATTAAAGATGTTTCCAAGTGATTGACCGTATAATAAAATAAAGCCTTCAGAAGTCACTTTCTCTTTTTTTTGGCAACGGGCTCGTTTGTGACTGCTTCTCTAAGAAGTATTTATGCTCATAAGCGCTTCTGGTAAAAGCACTCTGTTTATAAAAATGTTGAATTTTTTTCATAAGAAATTCAAATACTTCATGAAAAAGCTCTTGGAGTGCTTCTGTTTGGGCCGAAAATTTGGCACACCCAATCCAAAAAACCAAAGCCCATGTTAATCATGGGCAGCCACCAACATTCTTTGAAAATTAGGCCAAAATCTTGCAAACCCAACCCAAAATCAAGGAACCCAGGAAATCCAAAAGGGCAAACCAAGACTGATCAAATTAGCAAGAAAAGATTGGGCTTAAAAAAAACCAGCTTTTTGAAGGAGCCCACCACTAACGCAAATCAGATTAAAAATATCACAGGATTAATTAAAGCTTATTTTTTAGGAGCCCACGTGACTACCAGAAATAGAAAAGTCAACAAACTCAACTGAGTTGATTGGGAGTTAATTAAAACAGGGCAGTAGCTGGCAAACTGGGAAGGGACATCTCTGGATAAATCGGAAGATCAAAGTCCTCTCTTACATGTATATATATATATATATATATATATTCAGAGATATTTTCTCTATTCCAAATAGGGTGATTGTCCCAAGAGATAAGCAGCCCTTGTTATTTAAAGAAGAAGATAAGCAGAATGGCAAAGAGTTGTTCAAACAGGAAATCAAGCTGACCATCACGATTTGACATCTCACAAGGACAGTTGGGATTAAAAAGGAGTTATGTTCTCTTTCAAAAAACAGAGAAGTGACTATTGAGAGCTCAATTGCCAAAAATTAGATAAAATTCCTTTTTCTTGTGTTTTTAAAAAATTAAAAAGATCTTTCTCTGAAAATTGCCGCCCATTATTAAAAAATTAAATACCTTGAAAACATTTTTTTTCTATAAATAGAAGAGAGGGTGAACAGGTTCAAGGACACCCAACAACAACAACAATCAAACAAACAACTCAAAAATCAACCAAAAATCCCACTTGAATTCCAGGTGAAACCAGCTTCAGATCAGAATTTCCAAGGTTCAGACTTAGAAAAAAGTCAATCAAAACGAAATTTCTCTCGTTACAAATTTGGTTCAGCAAAGAATCAAGATAGGTAGAGCTTGAGTTTTTCCCAAAAATGAAAACCTCAACAAATTTCACAGTGCAGTCTCTAACCCACTGAAGTCCTCGAGAACAGCCACTTCTGCCCTTGTAGACTGAAGAAACCGAAGTTCTGCCTACTCAAAAGCCTCACAAAAGCTTGAAGTACATTAAAGCTGTGCCAGAATTAACCTTTGGTATTGATTTACAGCTGAAGCTTAGCAGTTGAAGTTGTCAACAGTCCAGTCCAGCCCAAGCATTTCCACCCCAGCTCGGATCAGAGCCTCCTATCCAGACAGAAATGAATTTCCAGCTGTCCTTTCATCTTTCTAGCATGGATATTTATTTTTATAGTTCTGTAAAAGGCAGTTCTGCCCAAGACAGTTTAAATTCCATCAACCATTCTGGCCAGAAAGATGAAAGGATAGGATCAACCTTTGGCACTTCTGCCTGAGCCACCAGCAGTGTTGCCTTATAGACCCAGAAGGATGGATCTTAATCCATTCCCTCCACCTGCAAGAGGCAGAAGAGGCGGAATGGGTAATAACCTTTTTGCCAACAATGACAGGAACAGGTTGGGGGTAAACTGGAGGAATAATCCAGATCTAGAAGAACAGGAAGAACACAGGGAGGAAGTTCTGCCCAGGCCATACAGAGCATACAGAGCGGAGCCCAGGATTGATCATGCCCAGCCAGAACAGGGGCGAAATCACCACCCTGTCAATGCTCTGAATGACGTGAGGGCATTACAAAGGATGATCAGAGAGATGATGGAGCCTGAAGCCAGAAGAGGAGAAAGGCCCACCTATAGGAAGCCATATCCGGCTTATGTCGATCAAATACCTCTATCCTCGGGTTTTAAGGTGCCAAACTTCACCTTATTCAACGGAGAGAATCCCCATGCTTCATCAGTTGAGCACATAGGCAGGTTCTCTATCCAGTGCATAGCCATAGAGAACAATCCTCTTTTGAAATTGAGGCTTTTTGGGAATTCTCTCTCTAGACAAGCTTTTACTTGGTACACCAACCTGCCAGCTAATTCTATTCAAACCTGGGAGCAGATGGAAAGTGTTTTCCACGACTATTATTATAGGATTTAGCCAGAAGTCACCATCAGTGACCTTGCTGCCCTCAAGCAGAGTGAAGATGAACCTGCTCAAGACTTTATAACTAGGTTCAGGAAGCTCAAAATGAAGTGCCGAATCCCTATGGAAGAAAGACACTTCATCCAAATGGCTCAGGCTGCCCTCAAGATCTCTTTGAGAAAAAGATTTGATGGGATGCTGTTTGGAGACCTGGCAGAACTGACAGATAAAGCATCCAAGTATGAGGAACTGCTTAAGGAAGAACAGCAGAAGAGGAACTCATCCAAAGGCACGTATTACAAGTCACCTTCCTCTTCAATACATCTGGTTCAGGTAGAATCAGAAGAGGAAGCAGAATGCTCAGAGGATGGAGAAGTTGTAGTAACAGAAATGGCAAAATTGAAACATCTCATCAGCTGCAAGGTCCTTACTAAGCCACCAAAGGATCAGAAGCCACCACCTTTCACAGGAGGGTTTGTTCCGAGCAAACCAACACAGAACAAGGTTTATTCCTTTGATCTAACCAAGGTGGATGCTTTATTTGATGAAATGTTGCTGCAAAAGGCAATAGAGACACCCCACAGGATGCCCAAGCCAGAAGAGCTTAAGGGCAGGCAGTATTGCAGGTGGCACAACTCTTGGAACCATTCTACCAATAGTTGTGTAGTTTTCAGAGATGTTATATAGGAAGGAATAACAGCAGGAAGGTTGAAACTTGCGGAGAAATCTCCTTTAGTCACAACAGATCCTTTTCCCCAACCACAAGTCAACATGGTCAACTTAAATTGGCCAGAACAGAAGAGAAGCAGGCCAACGATAGAAGCCAGTTCCAGCAGAGGCAGAATGGTTTCAAGGGAAACTATTGAAAGGCCAAAAGCAACTATCTCAACTGGAATAGTTCTCTGCAGCAAGTGCAAATGTGAAGCTGAGCTAGAAGTGGTCCTGGACAGGCAGAGTCAGCCCATTCCGAGTGTTTTTGACAGGATTGGAACCTCATCCCGAGATAGAGCCAGGCGGAAGGAGTATCCCAGACCAGCCCAGCATAGCAGGAGGATGACAGAGCAGCCCAAGAAGGAAATATCAATCAAGATGAGAAACCTCTGGCTGCTATCATAGAAGGAAGGTGGTATGCTGTCGGGAAAAGTGGCAGACCAACTATGGAGTTAATAAGAACCCAGAAGATGAGGGTTCAAAGGCAATACTGCATATTCCTCAAGAACAAAAGTGATGCACAGGCACCTCCGGAGACCACTTCTGGCAGAAAAGGGAAAGATCCGAAAATACCTTCCCAGGCAGAACAAGTAATCCAGCCACAGAAAATGTTGAAAGCTGGATCTCCAGTTAAGCCTTCTATCCATCTTGCTTCATCCTCAGACAATCAATTTAAACCTTCACAGATACATGGAGAATCTGAATCTATTCCAATGAAGGGCAAGAAGACTGGACTGAGGAAAATGAAGAGGAGCAGCTAGATTATGAGACTGGACAGAAGGATTCGGGGAGGAACATATGGAATATGATGGGGAATTAGATGCAGAAACTGAAGCTCTTGGTGCAGAATTGGAAAACCTGTTGCAAGGTGATTTGGGCATCAACATAGTGTTCATTCTGCCAGAAAAGTTCAGAGCTGCAGAAGGACAAGAAAGCACTCTGGAGGGAGATGTTTTCTCCTAGGAAAGTTTCGAATGCAGGTTAGCAGAAGCAGAGGAGGTACCAGAACAACAAGCAGGCAGTCCCATGACAGGCGAAATTACCAACAAACTAACTACAGAACAACTTTGTTTCTCCAAACCAACCAAGGAGATGGCCAATCATCTCAGACCTTTGTTTATAACAGCAAATTTTGGAGGTATTCCTATTCCCAAAGTCATGGTAGATGGAGGTGCAGCCATTAATCTTTTGCCTCACAGAATGTTGAGCAAAATGGGCAGAACATAGAAGGACTTGATCCCAACACGCTTAACCATCACCAACTTTGCAGGGGGCATCACCAAAACTCATGGGATCCTAGAAGTGGATGTCATAATAGGAAGCAAGAAGCTGAAGGTTGCATTCTTTGTGGTGGATACTACTTCTACCACTTACAATGCACTGCTTGGCAGAGACTGGATTCATCAGAGTCTATGTGTTCCTTCCACTCTTCATCAACAGTTAGCTTTATGGAATGAAGAAGGTTACATGGAGATAGTAGAGGCTGATCCACGGCCATTACTGCCTTTTGCCATGTGTTTCGAAGCAAGGTACTATCATGATGACCTTGGTCCTTTCACCTTCCTTGGAGTCAACCAGAACGGCCGCCCCTATGGTGTCACGGCCCAGAGGCTCCTTGAAGATGGTCTAACCAATTCCTTAGAGGACTGGAATAGACCTTTTGTTCTAAACTTCCAGAACTCTGATATTTTGTCCCAATCAACAGGAGAAGGATCGAGCTGCAACAATCCGATCCATTACAAAAAGATTGTTGATATATTGGAAGTAAATGAAGCTCTTCATGCAGGATCCAGCCATCAATATGGCAGAATTCACCCATGAGAGCACGGAAGACTAGGAGGAAGAAGAATTATAGGAGGAAGTGTTAGATTTTGCGCCAGCAGCACTGGATGACTCATTGCCAGAAGTGGAAGATCCTTTATAGGAAATAAACTTAAGGACATAAGAGGATCCAAGACCTACTTTTATCAGTGCACTATTAAAAGAACCACTTAAGACTGAGCTCATTGCACTTTTGCAGGAGTTTGGAGATTGTTTTGCTTGGTATTATCATGAAATGCCAGGTCTAGACAGGGAATTAGTAGAGCACAAGCTGCTAATCAAAGAGGGATACCTTCCAGTCAAACAGGCCAGAAGAAGAATGTACATGGACATAGAACTAAAGGTCAAGGAAGAAGTAGAAAGGTTGCTCAAGGCAGGATTCATCAGGCAAGCCATCTATGCTGATTGGCCAGCTAATATTGTACCAGTTCTGAAAAGAAAAACTGGGGCAGTCAGAATCTGTGTGGATTACAGAAATCTAAATGAAGCTTCTCCTAAGGATGAGTACCCTATGCCAATGGCAGACATGCTAGTAGATGGAGCTGCTCACAACCAGATGCTATCTTTTATGGATGGCAATGTAGGTTACAATCAGATCATGGTGGCAGAAGAAGACATCCACAAGACAGCCTTCATGTGTCCAGGACATATAGGTGCTTTTGAGTACACTGTAATGCCTTTTGGCTTAAGAAATGCAGGAGCCACTTATCAAAGGACAATGAATTCTGTCTTCCATGATATGATAGGGCATTCTTTGGAAGTTTATATTGATGATATAGTGATTAAATCCCCAGAGGAAGGAAACCACATGTTAAATCTAAGGAGGGCATTCCTAAGAATGAGGCAAAATAAATTGAAGACGAACCCAAAGAAGTGTGTTTTTGGAGTTCAAGCAGGAAATTTCCTAGGATTCTTGGTCCACCAGAGAGGCATAGAAATCGACAGAAACAAAGCAAAGTCCATCATAGAAGCTCTGCCGCCTAGGAACAAGAAAGAATTGCAGAGTCTCTTAGGAAAAAATTAATTTTCTAAGGAGATTCATATCCAATTCTGCAGGGAAGATCCAGCCTTTCTCCTCTTTGTTAAGATTGAAACAGGAACACACCTTCAAGTGGGAAGAACAGAACCAGCAAGCTTTTGAGGAAATCAAGCATTACCTCTCAAATCCACCAGTTCTGTCCCCACCAAAGAAAGGCAGACCACTCAAGCTCTATGTATCTGCATCAGAAGTATCCATTGGGAGTTTGTTTGCCTAGCCTTGTACTTCACTGCTGTGAAACTCAGACACTACATGCTCCCATACACCATCTACATCATTGCCAAAATAGATCTAATCAAATACATGCTGACAAGACCAATGCTGAGAGGCAAAATTGGAAAATGGACCTTGGCCTTGATAGAATTTGCCTTTAGATATGTTCCTCAGAAAGCTGTCAAAGGACAAGCTGTGGCAAACTTCCTAGCTCACAGTTGCTATTGAAAACACGGACTATTTGAACATAGAAAATGCAGATCTATTGACCAGAGCTCACAGTTGCCTCAACAATCTTATCTATTCAGTCCATCTCACACCTCGGAAGCTATACTTTGATGGATCAAAAACTGATATAGCTTCTGGGGCAGGAATTGTTTTGGAAAAACCACTTGGAATCAGACACTGTTACTCTTTTCAATTGGATTTCCAGTGCACCAACAACAGAGCAGAATATGAGGCTCTAATCATAGGCTTAGAAATACTGGTAGAACTAGGAATCCAATATGTGGAAATTTTGGGAGATTCCATGCTTGTTTTGAAACAGATTGCTAGGGAATACAAGTGCCTAAGTCCTTCTCTAGCCGTCTACTTGGTGGCAGCTAGGAATCCTCTAATAGAATTCAGAGAAGCTACTTGGGAGCATATCCCAAGGGAAGAAAACTTTGCAGCCAATGAATTGGCTCAGGTAGCAACAGGAATACCTGAAGATTGTGTACAAAGAATCATCAAGATAGGGAAGAAAAGCCTACCATCTGTTCTGACCAAGGGGACGAAAATAGATGTCAATTCTGCCGCAATCACTGAAGATGATTGGAGAAATCCTATCATGACTTACTTACGATATCTAACTCTGCCCTCTGAGAAGAAAGTCAGAATCATAGCTTTGAACTACCTTATGTGGAATGAAGATTTGGTCCGAAAGAGTAAGGATGAGGTACTTTTAAGGTGCCTCGGAAAGAAAGAATACATGAAAGTCATGGGGGAAACTTATGAAGGAATCTGTGGAGCTCATCAAGGAGGAGAAAAATGTGCCGGTTAATTAGAAAGTATAGCTACTTCTGGCCAACCATGATGAAAGATTGCATTGACTATTCCAAGGGGCGTGAGTCTTGTCAAAGACACGGCCTAATCCAGCAGGTTCCTTCAGTTCCCATGAATCCAGTGGTAAAGCCATGGCCCTTTAGGGGATGGGCAATGGACCTCATTGGCAAGATCTATCCAACCAGCAGCCAGCAACACTGTTTTATCATTGTTGCCACAGACTATTTCACTAAGTGGGTAGAAGCTAAGCCTGTTAAATCCACTACATCTCAAGAGATCATCACTTTCATAGAAGAACAGATTATACAGAGATTTGGCATCCCAAAATCAATCACAACTGACAGAGGATCTTCTTTCATATCTAGAGATATGCTGGATATGGCAGAAGCTTTCAAATTCAAACTGCTTCAATCCACTCCTTATTATGCTCAAGCTAATGGACAGGCAGAATCAAGCAACAAGGTGATCATCAACATTATCAGAAAACTGCTTGAGAAGAATCCAAAGCAGTGGCATGAGAAGTTGTCAGAAACTCTGTGGGCATATAGAACTTCAAAGAGAGAAGCAACTGGCATGACCCCCTATGCATTAACCTATGGTCATGATGCAATTCTGCCTATGGAGATAGCTGTTCAGTCCCTCAGAATTGCTCACCAACATAATCTGGTAGGAGAAAACTACTCTCAAGCCATGCTGCTAGAACTGGAAGAATTGGATGCAAGCAGAATTGACACCCTCAATAAACTCCTAGCAGGAAAGCAAACTGTGTCAAGGGCTTATAACAAAAGAGTCAAAAACAAGAGTTTTGAAGAGGGAGAGATAGTCTGGAAAGTGGTTCTGCCCCTTGGAACACATGTGGCTGGTTATGGAAAATGGTCACCCACATGGGAAGGCCCTTTCATAATTAATCAGATCCTTGGAATGGGGGCATACAGATTGCAGGATCGAGACGGAGAAGTTCATGCTGCCCCAATCAATGGCAAGTGGTTGAAGAAATTCTATCCAACTATGTGGGATTCTCAGGCTGCACAGACAGATCCTGGGATAGAGAAGGAACAACACTGAAAACTGTTTATTTCAGATTCTATCCAGAATTTATTTCTAATCCAAGTTTTTTACAGTTTATTTCCCTTTCGTTTTTTACCACTGCTGTTTATTTCGTCAAAAGAAATTGAAAACCAAAATTGCAACAAAAATAAACTTTATTTAAAATAAATAGCCATGGGGCCTTCCCCATGGCAAATTGTTCATCATAAAGCAAAAACTAAAAACATAAATAAACTAACAAAATCAAAATCCTAATTTCTTGAGAGTTTCTTGCAAGTTGGTCTTTTTAATGGAAAGTTCTTTTTGAAGCAGCACCCCCTGATGGATTGAAGCCTCTGCAATCTCCAAGGCTGGCTTAGAAGCTGCAACTGTGCTTTGCACAAGGAAGGTAGCCTTAGTCTTGGAGCTCAGTCCAGCCCCGAGCCTGTTCTGCACTTCCCTGCACTCTGCCAGCTGCTTTTGAAGCTCTGCAATCTGCTTCTCCAATTTGTCTGCAGTGGCTTTGGCTTCCTTATACCCCGCCACCATCTGATCCAGTTCTGCCTTCTGCTTTGCAAAATCAGCCAAGTTGGCTTCATGAGTGGCCTTGCAGAACTCATAGGTTTTGAAGATGGGCTTGAGATCCTCATAACGGTCGTGAAGGTTGAGCACATCCCTTGCCAAACCAAGGCTCATTTCAAGTATAGGTTTTGGGGCCATGCTCTGTCTGTGCACAGGTCCAGATCCTTCATCAACTGGTCAATGGCTTCCCTATCCTCATCCAGCTCCAATTCAGTAGACTGCCAGATCTTCAGCCTCTCCATAGCCTCCTCCACTGCCTTGGATTTTGCCTTGCCTATAGGAGAGCTGAGCATCTCCAATCTGTCTAGCTGGGCATCTAAGTCCATAGCTTCAAACTCTGCCAGTTCTGGATCAGCAAAGGAGGCCGTGGTAGATGAACCTGGAAGGGAATGAATAGGCATCTGCAGAAGAAAGCATAAGTAAAAAACAGGCAAAAACAGAAGAGAAAAACTCAAAAAATGCAATAAGCACTTACAGAAGGCTTCAAAGGACTAGTCATCACTAACAGAAGGCCAGCAGACCCAGGCACTTCTACCTGGAAAGACAGAAACAGTTAAGGAAGCAGAACTAGAACAGAATTACATAAAATAAAGAGCAGAGTAAGAAGAAAATTATCATCACTTCAGGGGCAGTCGCAACCACTTTCACTACACTTTCTGGGGCTCCAACAGGTAAATCTGCTTGCTCCACAGGCTCGGATGCAGATTGTTCTGATTGTTCCCCAGCTGCTGGAACAGCAGTAGAATGTTCTGCCTCTGGATCCTCAAACAGGGCCAACTCTGAGCTAGTCAGCCCTGCCCCTATGTCTTTCTGTTGCTCTTGTTCCTTCTGAGCCAAGGCAATGCTCTCTGCTATCACCTCGGCATGGATTTCCTCCTACAAACAGGCAGAAGTCAGGACAGAAGGAACAAAAAGGCAGCAGAAACTAATACTGCTAAGGAAACAAGACTCACCTCTTCTTCCACTGTCTTGGCCTTATCCTGAGGCCACTCTCCTACTTCTTCCAGCTCTTCCAGCTCCTTCTCTTGGTCCACAGCCTCAAAAGCCTCTCTCAGCTCTTTATCCGTGTCAGAAGTAGCAGTGGGAACTGCTCCAGTCCCCTCCGGGGCCGCATATTCTTCTACAATCCTCTTTCTAAGTCTTTTTGACTTAGTAGGGGGAGGAAAGGGACTTCCAATTGCAATGAACAGAAAATAAGCCTTAAGAATTATGGCAGAACAGAATTATGAAGAACTCAAAAACTGTCAAAATATACCTGGAGTCACAAGTTGGGCAGTTTCTTTTCTCTTTCTTCTAACAAAAGAAGTGGCCTCAACAGGAGTCTGTTATGCCTGGCCTTCTTCTTCTTCTTCTTCTCCATCCCCGGAAGGTAACTCCAGATCCCCAACAGCAATAACAGAGTTAACTGTGCAAGAAACAAAAGTCAAGGATCAATCCAGCAGAAAAATGATAAGAAAAACAGAATAACAAGAAAACTTACCAAACACCTCTCAACTCTGGGCAGATTGGCTGCCAATATTCTTTGTCAAAGAAGGATCTGATTGCAGGCAGAATAAGAGGTTAGCATCATCAATAAAGACAGAATAGACAACAACAGACAGAATTGAAGAGTTACCTTCTATAACTTGCATACTGATGTCTTTGATGGTCTGCACCATGAATTTGTGAGTCTCCTCTTCTATGTGGACAGTCCAGTTGTCCCAACCCTTAAAAAGGACTTGAAGTGCGGTACTAGAAGCAGGCAGATCACGGAATCTAACCTTCCACCAAGCGTCAAACTCGGCAGAACTGTAGGAATTCGGTTCCCATGAAGGATAAAGGGCATCTGCACTATTGTTGATCTTATTTACTGCACACCTTGCATCCTTGTGCACCTCCAGGTCATCTACATCTCTCCAGGAAGTGCCCCGATTGCAACTTCTATAAGATTTGAGTGGAATGAGCTGAGGGCAGCCAAGTTGCCTTGCACAGAAGTTGGGATGGTAGACTTCTGCCCCCAAATGATAATTTGGAGGTTTTCCCCTTCCATGAGGCAGATCCCTGGGCAAGGTAACACTCAGGAACTTCTTCCTGAAATCAGTTCTGGCTACCTCCTCTTCCGGTTCTTTCTCAAAAAGCCGGTATCCAGGCTGGAACCAAAGGTATGTCCTTCTGATCACCACCTGCCACTGCGCTGCAGACCTCTTAGTACAATGTCTGAAGAGCATCAGGTACTCATCAATCGATCTCTTGGGCACTTTTGCTGACATTAAAGGTAGGGCCAGAACTTGGTCTTCAAGCATAACTATATCCGGAAACCTCAGTTCTAGGAAATAAACTTGCAGCCAGATTTGGATCATCCAGAACGCGCCGGGGGCAGACAGATTGAGAGGATTCTCCAAGGTGGTAGTGTGCAGATTCTTGAACAAATGGGCCAGAACAGTAGGCCCAAGTCCGACGTCAGTATGATTGTGTAAGGCCTCTGCCAAGTGTCTGTACTCAAGCAGAACTGCTGAGGAACGATTTGGGAAAACAAACCTATTCAGCCAGTACAGGAGGAACAACATGTGTTGTTGGTCCTTGTCCTTCTCAGCACTGAACTTCCTCAAGTAGTTGGAGAAGGAGCAGTTCTGGTTGATAAGAGCTGGAGAGATAGTGAAAGGCTTGGCTAGTTTCTCCTGGTTCTTTCTTCTATGGTAATCTCCTACTGCATCCACAAGTCTTCCATGGGGCCTGAACCCAAAGATTTGCACCATATCCAGCAGAGTTGGAGCCATGGGGCCAACACGGAAGTCAAATGTATTACTGGCAGAATTCCAGAAACATAGAGCAGCAGTCAGGAGGTTCTCATCTCTATTGATGGAATGCTTAGACAGAAGTATGGCATCATATATGCCAGCCCTCTTCCAGTGAGCTCCATATCTTGGAAGGAGTCTGTCGATCCAGTCTACCCATTTCACTGAACTATTTCTCACTTTACTGGATGGGAACGAACGGCTCAGATTCTTGCTAACCCAAGAATGAGAGGCCAAGGCAGAGGTGCTCTCAAAACACAAAGGAGCTTCAGCATCCTTCTTCATCAATTTTGCCATCTCAGTCGGAATTGGGCCAAACAAGAGTATTCTCGAACAAATGGAGGACATTCTCATCTAGGTTTTTCTGAGCAAAAGGATGGAGTTTGCTCCTAACCTCTATCGCGTGGTTGTCAATTCCAGTCCCGGTAATATAATCTGGAGGAACTGGAACAGAGGAAGACTGGGCACGGGATTTTGGGGAAGACATTTTCTCAGGATTGTTCTTGTTTTAAGAAAAGGTAAAGTTCATAGGAAAGGAAAGGCAGGTTCTAGCAAAGAGAGAGTTGTCAAAGAGAAAGCTCAAAAGAGTAAAAGTCTGGAGTACTAGGTTTTCAGATGAACAGGAATAGTGGGTTTTTAATTTCTTTTAAAGAAGCTCAAAAACGTGGGAAGAAGAAGACGATGCGACACTTGATAATGACTAGCTAGTAACTAGCTAATAACTGACCATTCCCCCACGAAGTCTAGTTCGTGCTAGGCAGACGTACTGGCGCGCAAATTAATGGCCAGGTCATTAAGTCTGAAACCGTTCCAAACGACTCAGGCTTAATGGGGGCATTGTTTGGGCCGAAAATTTGGCACACCCAGTCCAAAAAACCAAAGCCCATGTTAATCATTGGCAGCCACCGGCATTCTTTGAAAATTAGGCCAAAATCTTGCAAACCCAGCCCAAAATCAAGGAACCCAGGAAATCCAAAAGGGCAAACCAAGACTGATCAAATTAGCAAGAAAAGATTGGGCTTCAAAAAAACCAGCTTTTTGAAGGAGCCCACCACTAACGCAGATCAGATTAAAAATATCACAGGATTAATTAAAGCTTATTTTTTAGGAGCCCACGTGACTACCATAAATAGAAAAGTCAACAAACTCAACTGAGTTGATTGGGAGTTAATTAAAACAAGGCAGTAGCTGGCAAACTGGGAAGGGACATCTCTGAATAAATCAGAAGATCAAAGTCCTCTCTTACATGTATATATATATATATTCAGAGATATTTTCTCTATTCCAAATAGGGTGATTGTCCCAAGAGATAAGCAGCCCTTGTTATTTAAAGAAGAAGATAAGCAGAATGGCAGAGAGTTGTTCAAATAGGAAATCAAGCTGACCATCACGATTTGACATCTCACAAGGACAGTTGGGATTAAAAAGGAGTTATGTTCTCTTTCAAAAAACAGAGAAGTGACTATTGAGAGCTCGACTGCCAAAAATTAGATAAAATTCCTTTTTCTTGTGTTTTTAAAAAATTAAAAAGATCTTTCTCAGAAAATTGCTGCCCATTATTAAAAAATTTAATACCCTGAAAACATTTTTTTTCTATTAATAGAAGATAGGGTGAACAGGTTCAAGGACACCCAACAACAACAACAATCAAACAAACAACTCAAAAATCTACCAAAAAGCCCACTTGAATTCCAAGTGAAACCAACTTCAGATTAGAATTCCCAAGGTTCAGACTTAGAAAAAAGTCAATCAAAACGAAATTTCTCTCGTTACAAATTTGGTTTAGCAAAGAATCAAGACAGGTAGAGCTTGAGCTTTTCCCAAAAATGAAAACCTCAACAAATTTCACAGTGCAATCTCTAGCCCACTGAAGTCCTCGAGAACAACCACTTCTGCCCTTGTAGACTGAAGAAACCGAAGTTCTGCCTACTCAAAAGCCTCACAAAAGCTTGAAGTACATTAAAGCTGTGCCAGAATTAACCTTTGGTATCGATTTACAGCTGAAGCTTAGCAGTTGAAGTTGTCAACAGCCCAGCCCGGATCAGAGCCTCCTATCCAGACAGAAATGAATTTCCAGCTGTCCTTTCATCTTTCTAGCATGTATATTTATTTTTATAGTTATGTAAAAGGCAGTTTTGCCCAAGACAGTTTAAATTCCATCAACCATTCTGGCCAGAACAACCTCTTTATACTGAGATAAATTGTTAAAGTCCTCACCAGTCTGAGGCAAGAAAAGAACTTACTTGGGAGATATTCCTCACCCAAATTCACAATTATTTATTTGCAGAAATCAGTAACTTGGGGCGCAAGTTATCCATTCTAAACTAAGTCTACTAGAATCTTCATTACTAGCAGTAGCACGCTCGCACACCAAAGAAACCCCTTTTCGTTGATTGTTTGTTCAAAAATTGATGATTTCATTGAAAAAAAACACTTATGCAAATGACAAAAATAACCTCAATGAAGTATATGCAATCTAATCTCAAAGGCCAACTTTGTCATTTAGAGAATTTTTTTGGTATAAAATCATCAATCTTTGGATGAAAAATCAATGAAAATGAGTTTTGTGGAAACAATTTAAAACCTTAGGGGATGTTCTTGTAATTTCTAAAACCTCATGGAGTTTTGTGAAAAAACAGAAAACCCCAGGAGGTGTTAGTGTAAATAACTCAAATTTGAACCTTATAGGAACTCTATGTGGTACTAAATCACTCATATATCTTACCATGCAATGTAGAAAGTGTAAAATATTGTAGTAAATCATTATAAATAAATAATTATGGTGTGTTTAATTTTCTTTCATTAATTACTACATATTTTCTACACTCGCAGTGTTTGTCAACTCGCTATATAATCAATTTAAATCAGTTAAACCCATCATACAATGTATTTCCTTCCAATTTTTTTGTGATAAATTAATAGATAATTGACTAAATAAACATCCTCCAAAGTTTGAAGAAAAATTTCCAAATTTTTCTTACAATTTCCGTGGTTTTCATTCAATTTTTATTGATATCAATAATATCCCGATATTTCCACAAAATTTCCATATTTTTCAACTACCGATATTTCCGAAACCATTAATATTTTAGACCTTACTTATCACCATATACCTTATCTATTTATACAACCTAGGATAATGAACCTTACTTCAAGTGATGGACTCATTCATAAGATAGGCCCCTCATGTTTATTTAGGTGACTTAATTCATTTAAAACATCAAAGTTAGTTAACCAATAAAAAGAGTGTGTTTCCATTTGAATTCATTGGCTAAAAATGTGATATTTTTATTTCCACTAGAAACAATAATTTGATACAAAATCCCATGACTGATTTTCAATTGAACCTAGACACAATTAAATAGTCTTTGGAAGCCGCTTCCCTTTGTATATATGCTCGATTGGCTTGCCATGAATGGTCTCCGATCACCTTCTTAATTTCTAGCTGAAGAAGAATGAACCTTTTTCGAAATCGTGGACTCATGAGATCTTCCTAAAGTTATTGAAAATTAAGTGGGAGATTGTCTCTCATTGTCAAGTTTAACGTTGTTCCCAACAACATATGAATTAGACTATTTGATTGGAGAGTGATGACTTTTTAATCTTTCATAATGGATTAGACTATTTGGTTGCGTTAAGAGAATGATTTCAAAACCATGTCTTAGATTAATTTTGGTGTCCAATCAACAAACGTTTGATCATAATGGATGAGATATAATATTTACTAATGTTAAAATGTGATACGTATCTGTACTTTCGATATTATCTGATTCCGATAGAGATAATCAATCCCAAGATTGTAAGACACGTCAATAAAGAAGATTCTAGAATTTAAAATTCATAGACGACAATTGTTAGAACCCAGTAACATTGTAATGGTGTACGTGCTATTACAAAAGTGGTTTAAAATATAATTAAAATACTAATTACTTTATTAAATGAAACTATAACATATTTGAGTTTGTCTTATGGGAAAACTTGGTAAGCATGATGGTTCATCACGAAAGACAGTTCTAGGATACAATGTTAAACACGTGTTCAATAAAGATTGCCGAAGAAATTGAGCAAGAGTCCAATATAGAAGATAATTACCTTCTCCTCTCATCCCGCTTGGGGTTTCATGATCCGAATCATTCATTTTATAAGTCACTTTCACAAATCATATATGAAAAGAAAAAAAATTACAAAATCGTTTAGTCATCTAACTTATCATATAACTAGATGAATCAAATGTTTCCAATAACCATTAGACCGCAAAAATGAAGATAGTTAGCATTCCAACTTTTTATTAGTCCATGTGAGAAATACATTTCATGAAGTCCTCTTAGAGACTGAAGGAGATTAAGTTTTCGTTTTATCACTACGTTTGGTAATTATTTAGTTTTGTTTCACCCTTTTTTGTGATGTATAAAGAGTTTTATAGGACAAAAAGATTTGAACAACTGGAAAACAGATATTCAGTAACATTTTAAAAATAATAATAATAATGACAAACTACTTTGAGCAGAACAAATCACCTTTACTCTCAGTTCATCGCTTGGCAGTTGGCATGAATGGTCGGCAACTTGGCAGATCAATATTTTAGCTTTGTTTATAGGATCAAGGAAAATTAACCTTAATCAAAATGAAGGGATGGTTCAAAAATATGTCCAAATATCTTTAGGCTACAAATTATACTCTTTGATTTTTTTTTCTTAGAGTAAATTTAAACTCAAGCATGGTAGTTGAAAATGGAGAATATTACAATCCCTCAAATACCTTATTGTACTTCAATGATTCGAACCATTTACCTTGTATGTATTATTTCAAATATCATCTCTGCAAACAATCACTATAATTCAAACCATTTGACCACTCAATTAATGGTTTGTCATTTTTGTGTTGTCTTTAAGCACCGTTTTGATCTCTTTTATTGATCACAACTAGATGTCTTAATGATTTTCAATTTGTCTAATTTATACACTCAATTAATAGTTTGTCATTAACCACCGTGTTCATCTATTTTGTTGGTCACAAGTAGATGTCTTAATATTTTTCAATTTGTCTAATTTGTAGTAAGAATGATCTATGAATAAATACTTGAAAATAGACGGTTCGAATCATTGAAATAAATTTTGTGGTGGACACCAGAAAGTGTCCCTCAAATAAAACTATTTGAATGATCTCTCAATAAGAGGGGACAACAATTTGAAATTTAATAAATGGCAAGTTACTCTTCGCTCTCAATTTGCATCTTTATTTTATTATTTTGAATCCGGATAACATGTTTGTCCAATAGATTTTGTTTTTTGTTTTTGCTGCTTTCATATTTTTAGGATGCTGTTTAAGGAACCTTAAAATTAACTGAGTACACCCTACTGCCAAACTATTTATTGAATTACTAATTTACCCTAATATAAAATGACCAAAAAGGATATATTGAATTGTAAAACAAATGTAATTTTAATAAGTACACCCTACTCACCATATTCAATCTCTAAGCCATGCAAACATGAGAAACCTTTATAGAAAATTAGTTAAATACCCATTCCTAGACATAAAACTATAAAAATACCCTATACTATTTAATGTATATAAACACACCCAAAATAAACCCAAAAATCAACAGCTGTATATTTTTTAATTTAATTATTAAATGAAATACCTTTATTACCCATTTAACATAAAATTGGAATTCTAATCAACAACAAATCAGAACCCATTTCACGACCTTCAATCTCTCATCTCCATCTTCAACCCCAATTTTTAGTTTTTGTTCAACCTCATCATTCTAAGCTTCGTCGGAGGGCTCGCCTGGGCTATCGACAATGATGCGCTAGAGAGGGCCTTTTCTCCGTTCGGTGAGATCATCAAATCGAAGAGCCGTTTGATGCATGTTCTCTCTCTGCTTCTTGATCTTCTGTTTCTCTACGTTACTTGATCTTTCTCTCCCAAAGATTGAAGATCGATCGATTCCTTTCCATTTTTGTTTATTATTGTGTATTTGTTTGATTATACTCCAGCGTTTTTGTTTTGATGGACGGATCTGATTTGATTTGGTTTCTTTTTGTGTTTCCAGATCATCAACAACCTGGAGGTCCAGGAGCTTCGACTTCTTCACCTTCAACAACGAGAAGGCCATTAGGGATGCGATCGAAGGCATGAACGACCAGAACCTCGACAGCCGTAACATCACCGTCAATGAGGCCCAGTCTTGTGGAAGCGGCAGTGGTGGTAACGGAGGTTACAGCTCCAAAGGTGGCGGCGGAGGATATGGTTGCGGGCATTTGCTTCACTAATTGCTCCAAAGTTCAGTTCGCCATGAATCCGTATCATTGCTCAGCTCAACAGCTCTTCTGTCTCAACTTTCAATCAGTAGTCCTCCTTCCTTTCTAGTTCCTAGCCATAATTGAGATGCTATTGCTTTGCCTTGTTTTGCCCTTGCTCCTTACTTTATTGATGATGATTGATTTTGTCACATTAGCTGAAGTTGAAGTCGTATATGGTGCTAATATTAACTATTGAATTTCATGCTCTTTGCATTCCTAATTTCTAACTAATATGCATGCTGGTTGATGATTGTCTTAGACTGCTCAATATTTATTTAAAAAAATACTGTCATTTCCCCCATTTTGTTTATGCTTTTTGTTTCTCTTTTGCCTTGCCTTTTTCATGAGAGAAAGAAGAGATTGCTCTCCTATGGAATTCAGACTAAGAATATGTATTGGTAGAAAACTTTATATTGAATAGATTCTGCCTGCAACAACTTATTTTAAATATTCCTATACAGCACACGGGGACTTGCACCAAACCAAACTTCTTCTTCTTCTCTTCTTCTTCTGTATATTTATTTATTTGGTTGTTATTGAGAGAGAGAGAGAGAGAGAGAGAGAGAGAGAGAGAGAGAGAGAGAGAGAGAGAGAGAGAGAGAGAGAGAGAGAGAGAGGTTGGTGTGCGTACGTGTGTATGTGTGGGACTGATCTTTTATACAAATTGAAAAACTCTCTCTGTCTCTCCAGAAACTTTTGTTGGAAAAAGAATCCTCTGAGATTTCTTGAATAAAGTTTCAATAATGTATCACACTACTAGCTTTGCCATGCTACTATGTATTCTGGTGCCCCATATTAATCTCTACATATTTATCCGTTGACCACATAAAAATGACTGTTAAAGCAACAACTTTAGTTTAATTATTGTCATTTAAACATTTATCTATCTTTCTTGTTGCAAACTCATAGAGATTGGTAGGTCCATGGAGGTCCTGAAAAAGGAGATATTTTATTTACTTCATTGTGTAACGAGTTAACATTACAATATATGTAACCACTTAGCATTACAATAACTTTATATTGAAATTTTGATGTGGGGAGTGAATGGCTTCATATTTTCCCTATAGTTTGTAGTGAAATAGCAGACTATTCAAATTCTATGTACTATTTCACCTTATCAGTTATGCGCTTTGGGCTTATAATTGTTAACTGTGTTGTTCCAATTATTCTATTATGCTTAATTATTTTGTTCTTATTTCGTATTGTCAGATTTGGTGAACAACCTTGGTACCATTGCAAGGTCTAGCACCAAGGAATTTATGGAAGCCTTGGCTGCTGGTGCATATCTTGTTGTAGATAAGGGCATTGTTACTACCAAGCACAATGATGATGAGCAGTATATGTGGGAATCGCTCTGATTCAATGTTTATGGTATGTGAAGTGATGAAGGATCAATTAATTATGCAAATGAAATGATGTAATTGATTTTGAGTGGTATGGAATTGTACACTTTTATCGTACCGATTATGTAAATGAAATGATGTAGTTGTTAACTTCCAGTAAGTGGTATGAACTGTATAATAACTGTTCATACCCTGCAACTGAGTTGATTTCTATGACATAGTATTAACAGTGTACTTCTATGACATAGTATTAACAGTGTACTTTTTTTTTCTTTTTGTAAAGATATTTCCTTTTGCCTTTGCGATTGTATGTAGTGAAACTATGAACAATTGGAGGTGGTTTCTACAAAAGATATCGGATGTCTTGCTGGTTGTTTGTTTTTTTTTTTTTTTTTTTTTTTTTGTGTATTAACAATGTACTTTTATAAAATAGTATTAACAATGTACTTCTATCATATGGTATTAACAGTGTACTTCTATAACATCGTATTAACAATGTACTTCTATGAAATTGTATTAATAATGTACTTCTATCACATGGTATTAACAATGTACTTCTATCACATGGTATTAACAGTGTACGGAAGTTCAGTGGAGAAGGGTCGTAAGGACAGCTCCTTAATTTTCACGATTTTTTTTTAGTTTGGGTTTTTTAAAAAATTTTGGATTGGGCTTGTTTTGGGTTCTTTTTGAGTTTTTTGTGTTGGGCTTGTTTTAAGTTAATCAATGGTAGAGATGTAATTTATAGGAACTTCAACACTCATTTCTTATTTAGTAAATAGGTTTTGGGTGTGTTTCTAAAGTGCATTTCATGTGGGGTTTTTTTATAATTTCAGTCCCTATTTTGGGTATATTACTAAAGCTCCCAAACCTTTAAGCCACACAGAACGCGCGTCTTGCAGATGCTATAGTAGATTAATGAACCACATTGCAAAATAGTATAACAGAAAATTGAAAGAAATCAAATCTAAAACAAACAAAAAAAAAGTAGAAGAAGGAGAAGGTACAGGAAAAGAAACTCTTATTCTCCATTTAAGTCTTTGTTTCCTTTGCCTTATTTCCACATCCTCACTCAGTCTTGGGTCTTTTGGCTTTGTGGAGTTTGCAATTCATATTCTGACACACACAAAAAAACAATTTAATTTAGCTCCCTCAATTATCTGTCTACTTGTCATGAAAAAAATGATAATGAACTATGAAAAGCCAACTTCCCTAACTCCTCACAAATGCTGATTATAAGATGAGTCATAGGTCATCATCTACTGTTCAAATCAAACAGAAGAAAATCCAAATGAATGTTTTGGCTATCTTGCCAAGCTTGTCAGATTAGTAATCTGCAACAGTCACCTTTTTAATGTTTCTCATAAAGCACTAAATTATCCTGCAAAAACAGATAAAGTTAAGCAGCTGCTTCAGTATTTTATTACCATGTGCAAACAATAACCAGGCAGAATTTCATAAACCTTCAGAACAAAGGCCTCTCAGAATGAATAAACAATTGGCTTAACCACAAGAACAGATTTCATAGAGGGCTTAGTTGTTATCAATGATCCCAACTGTTCTGCTTGAGGCCAGCAATTATATTACAGTTCACGCATAGGTTTTAACAAACAATAAACAAAGACTAATTAAATACTCTCCCTAGTCTCCACAGCATGAAGAAACCCCCCAGGTCCCATTCTTGGATATACGAATATGCGCTCGAACCAACAATCCGAGGTGCCTGACTGGATTCACCACTATAATTTCTTCTAGGATTCATTTCAACTTTTAGTTCTAGTTTCAAGTCACTCGGGAGAATGTCACTGAAAGTGAACTGATTTTGTGAGTCATAGTTTGTCTATCCTCTTTCTTTCTTTTTTCTGAGTAAATTTTTTTCTCTCATTTTCCTAGAAATTGCTATATTAAGTCTTCCACTATAGGCCTTCCTAAAGTGTTTGTTTCTCAACTCATAACCACCAGACAGATATTTGTGTTAGTTTCTTCCTCACTAGATTGGACATATAGATTTCCTCTATCATATAAATGCTATAAGATCCATATAGATGTATAATGTACATGAGTCAATAGAGAAATTTACTTACAACATAAAACTAAGCATTAATTTGGAAACCACTGCAACATACATACCATATGGTGCTTCATTTGTCGATTCTCTTTTCTGCATTGTATCATCATATTGAAAATTCATAGGGATAAGAACTACTTCCAGTCAAGAAAAATCATGGCAGCCGAAGTTCAGAAAGTAGTGGTGATCCAGGATGCATCCAAAGACATTGTTAGTTCGAGCGCAATCGAATCAGTCCTGCAAGGCTTATTGCTTAAGCCTGGGGATGAACTTACACTTCTTGCAGTTCTTCACCAGGTTAATAACCCTAGTACGTTATCTTTCATGGCAGCTGGCAGACTGTGTAAGAATTTATTTTTTGTTTTTCTAATAAAAGGAAGAAAGAATTTGGAAAGTATGGTAAACATAAGCACCAATTAATATGATAGACATAAAATCTTAGTTGTATGATTCTATCACACAGAACAGACTTTTCTAACTTTCATTTCCCCCAACACCCAATTTTCCACCTTTTCTGTCCTTCTCAGTGGGATACAGGACCAAGATGGACTCGAGTTCTATTTTCGGAACGAACCAGAAAGTCGTGGAAGAAGAGCTTGAGAGGAAAGCGGAGGAGTATCGTAACAAAGTGGGGATAATAATGATTTCTCAGCAATGCGAAAAGGCAAAGGTCAGATAAGAATTGCAGCCGCTATTTGTTACAAATTGGAGATTACCTGCTATTTGTTTCAGATAACATTTAATTCATCTAAGTACTGCTATACTATCATACCAGTGCATCTTGTGTTGGAAAACATACACTTTATTTTTTCCAGAATTTGATATAGTGCTCACAGCCTGCAGTGCAACAGAGTAGAGGAATCATCTGTCAATCATATGCTGACAGAGTACTTTTGTATTAAACTAATCTGTCGATCAAACGATGACAATATCAGTTTTCTGATGATATTCTCAGGTTGAGTTCAACATGGAGGTGATTGCTGGTCCCTCTCCTAAGATGGTTGCTGTGGAGGCTGCCATAAGATTAGGAGCATCATGGGTGATTCTTGACAGGTCAGTCATTAAAATATTTGAAGAATTGGAAATTGTTCTGCTTGAATCATGCTCAACGATACTCATCCAACCTTGTTTGAAGTGCACTCTTCACATTGCACAATAAATTAATACAGATAAGTAAAATTGTTCATAAGACAAAATCTAACAGAAATATAAAAATAAAAATAACTTATGTATGTTAATGAATTTGTGTTATTAAGCAGTCAAGCATTGATGATTGATTGAAACTCCAATAGTAGTTATGATTTCAAATTCAAGAGATCATAGTTATGGTTTCAAGTTCATGAAATCATATCCCAAACACCCACCCATATACCAATTCATTAGAAATCTACACCAAACATAGATCACTGAGAATAATTTCTAAATATACACGGTGGTTGCCCGTAGTTCAGTCTTAAGTACTTTCGAAGATGATATTTTAATCCACCCTTGAGCTTGAATTAGTTGGAGGTGCTAAACACATTGACTTTAAGGTCAAAATAATATAGTACTGTAAAAAAAATAAAGTGTAGTTTCTGAACATTGAGAACATGAAGGCTTTCCAAACAATATATAATGCCCTCAATCTCTCCACCCACTGCCAATTGGTTTTGGGTTGAATGCTCTAATTCTAACAGTGTTAAGATTGTTTAGGCAGTCAAACCGTTCAAATGATTATCGTATGACAAATTTATGTTGCAACTCCATAGCTAAATACAAGTTGGGAGGTGAAAAACATATGGTTCTGTGTGAAATCATTTAACTTCACCAATTTTCTAATTTCTAAAGCCACTACTGATGAAGCTTTATAGTTCCTTACAAACTTCCAAACCTTGTAAATTAAAATAATGTTTCTTATCAAACAAACTGCCATCTGAAAACAATGAGACACCACAATGTGAAAGCTCCTTTCTAATTTGTTAATGCAGGCAGATGAAGAAAGACAAGCAATTTTTCATGGAGAAGTTGTCATGTGGTATATCGAGGATGAAACGTAACAATTATGTTGAGCAATTGAGAGGGCCAAAGCCATTTGGGAGAAGCAAACAAGTCAACGAAAGACGGAGCAAATCAGTCACCAAAAAACGCAGCAAAGACCGCCATGTAAAATATGATGAAATGATACCAGGAAGCCCAGACGAGGAACTTTCTCCTAAAAGTAAGAAGTTCTTTCACAATTTATCTCAGGGACTAGGACTCAGAGTTTCAAATTGGATGGATTAGACAACTTCATATAGTAAATTTATTGATCTCTAGCTTATAAATAACACATACAAAATCTGCTTTTAATTTCTGTAAATGATCACCATGTCTAACAGATGTAATTGCAAAAAATCTGACTTGCAACAAGTTTGATTAAGGCCTACCTATAGTTGCATTAAAAAAACAGAGCACAGGACATCTAATTCTTTTGGCCTGATAAAAAAATATATTAAAGTCCACTGTAGAAGTTTATGCTCTCGTCATCCAAGCTCAGTGTAGTATGCAGCCCAGAACAAGTAATGGAATGTTATTTTTCACTATATTATCTACATAATTCCACATTGCTAATGCTCAATACCAAATGCAAGAAGTTGATTAAGAGTGCACATTGTTTTAGGATCTCCAAGTCTTCGAATGACCAGTTCTGGAAAAGAACAAGAAGGTGATGGTAGTGGACACCCATGGCCTAGCCATAGAAAATCTACCTCATCAAGTGAGACCTTGTTGACAACTAAAATGTCAAGTGTGGGGAATACTGAAACCTTAACTTCTTGTCTTCCCTGTCATTATCAAGAGGAAGAAAGCACGACAAATACTGAAAGGGGAAAAGCAGGAGAGCATTCCCCATTTCCAATTGCTGAGAGTCAAGCAAGGGTTCAAAAGGAAACAGATAATGTTGGGAGCTCAGATGAATATAAACAGCATAGCTACAAGGATGATTGGATAGGAGAATGTCAAACAGATGAAGAATTTAAAAACTCAATTTGCACAGTTTGCAAGAACAAACGGCCTACAATTGGATGGAAGAGAGATTTTACTCATGCAGAGCTCCTAGCTGCTACAGACGGGTTTTCCATGAAGACCTACTTGTCTGAAGGTGGATTTGGTTCTGTCTACAAAGGAGATCTGAATGGACTGAAGATTGCTGTTAAGCAACATAAAAATGCAAGCTGCCAAGGAGAGAAGGAATTTGAGTCTGAAGTACACGTACTCAGCAAGGCAAGACATGAGAATTTGGTGATGCTGTTAGGGTCATGTTCGGAAGGAAACCACAGGCTCCTTGTTTACGAATATGTTTGCAATGGTTCATTGGATAAACATCTATCAAGTAAGAAGGAAACAAGCTTAGAAGAAACAAAAAAAAATTTGAATTCTTCAAAATTCAAATTTTTTTAAACATCAAGTGTTTTACTTAATATTGCAGAATAGAGAAGCCTAACCCTGGAGCAACTTTCTCTAAATTTATGCAGACCACAGCAGAAGACCTCTTAGTTGGGATATGAAGATAAAAATTGCTACTGGAGCCGCAAGAGGCTTACAATACCTGCATGCAAACAACATCATCCATAGAGACGTGAGGCCAAACAACATCCTCGTGACACATGATTATGAATCCCTGGTAACTGAACCAGATATTCAATATCAGCTTTACAATCCAATATGCCTATTGATATCATGAAGTATTACATGGTCAATCCAGGAAAATAGATGTATAACAGCTTCTGTGCTCTGTGACTCAAATTCAATTCTTACCATAATTACTGGATGGCTAACCTAGCCAACTAATATGGCATTTTAACTCATAATCCCAATTGGATTCATTTAATCATCCATAATATTTCCAGAATATGTTTATTTGGTAATTTGGTATCCCTCCTCTAAGTGCATTGGATTTTTAGCAAAAGCATTTGAGCCAGAGTGCACATAGTATTTATTCGATGCCCTTAAATTAATCCCCATGGTGCAAACAAAATAACCACATCCATAGTCCATCTAACATTTTCTATGCATTAGTTAGGAGATTTTGGTCTTGCAAGAAGTCAACATGAAGACTCAGATCGAACATCAGATACAACAAGAGTTGTCGGAACTCTGGGATATTTGGCACCAGAATATGCAGAAAATGGGAAAGTGTCAACAAAGACAGATGTTTATGCTTTTGGGGTCATTCTATTACAGCTTATCACAGGAATGAGGCCTACTGACAAGAAGCTTGGAGGAAAAAGTCTAGTGGGATGGGTAAGATCTTCTATACCATAAATTGTTTTGAAGTATATACTCTTACATAAACATATAATGGTACTCAACCTAACAAATAAGAAACACCAAGATATTAATTTACACTGTTACCAACCTTTCTCACACACTGAAACATGCATGAGCTGATGAGAAGATGGGGAGTTCATATTATTGTGGTTGTTGAGGTTCATCTTCTCTTTCCTATTCTTGTATCCTTTAATGAACTAGAAAAATCACTCACCACAAAAAGAAACATTACAAGCACCTGCCTGTAGTACCACAGAAGCCCAACTATACACCAACTGCTACTGAAAAATAAAAAGGGGGTCTAGCAAACATCTGTGACACCGAAAACAAGCTACAGATATACTCTGGCTGTTACAATTTGCATTAACTTCTATTAATTAGAGAATCCCTCTTCTTCACCAGAACACTCTGCTCTTGACTTCAACCACCAAATGAAAATCTTCTCTTCAGTTTTCACACTCCATCTTGTAATCTTTCTAGTGCTTTCTTTAAAATTAAAAAATTCTTAAAAGCAGGTTATGTTTGATAGCTTTGGGAGGAAAACAGGATAAAAAATAAAGAATTTTGCAAATGAGATCTGTGTTACTTCAATTCCTGATAGCCTACCCACCACTGCTCATGACATGTCACATAAGGAAACACTAAATAGTATAAATACTAATAATAAAAGAAAAAAAGAAGAAAGGAGCAGCATTCTATTATTGTGACTTCACATTTCCTTATTATTTTGAATTAACAGTTCAGTAACTTTCTTGTCAGGCAAGGCCACTATTAAAAGAAAGGAACTACCCAGATTTAATCGACCCCAGCAATGTGGATTGCCACGATGTTCACCAACTCTATTGGATGGTTCGGGTAGCCGAAAAATGCCTCAGCAGGGATCCCCATAAGAGATTAACTATGGATGCTGTATGTCCACCTGACTAAGTAGACTCTGGTTAATGTCTATATGTATGTCTGCATCAGTTCAATGCATATAGATAAACAGTGGAACAAGCATAAAGATGAACATTAAATATTAGAATACCAACTGCTATATGACACTCATAATTAGCATCTCCTATTTTGCCAACAATAAATATGGTGCACATAAATAATAATAAGAAAGCACTATCCCATCAATTGGTATTCGAAATCTGGGCATTTCTCTTTGCTCATCATTCACAAGGAACAATTAAATTAAACTAAATCAACACATTATACCATCAAGTTTGATAGGAACCTACCTGGGGCAAATGAAATCTGATGGGTTCGTTTTGTTTTCTTCTTCTGATACAAATGCAGGTAGTTAATGCTTTGAATTACTTGAATGATGCAAACCCAGTTTGTAGCATTGGTGACTTCTCACCAGCACAATCTGAATCAGCTGGAAGCATGCCAGGCTCTTCTGAATCACATGGTGATCACGGTGATTATATCACTGTAGAAGTTACTCCCACATTAGAGTACATGCATAGCCAATCTACTTCTTCAGAGACGTCAAGCTTTTCCACAGTCTCTGAGCAATCGTCATTGGGAAGTTCTGCAAGTACTGAAGAGAAGAAAGAAAATCCAGAATAATGGTGAGTGTGCTTTTCTTTTTCCTTTGTGTGTCAACAAAGAGTGGTGGAGGGCTCTAGGGATGATATGGGCATTCAACAAAAATGATCACCAATCACCACTCACCATCATCAAAGTTAATCGAGCTTTTCGGGTTGTACTTGGGAGGAGCCTGTACCTCTCCATTGCAATTGATCATATGTTTTGTTTATACATATGTCACGTTTGACATTTGATCTTTTTTAATTTATATCATATTATTTTCTTAGGTTTTTCTAAAAGTACAAAATTTTGCTGCTACATCCAACAATTCGTATTAATGGTTGGTTATGCAATTTTTATTTCCTGACATTAGCAAAAAAGAAAAGAAAAATAGTATAAACTTTACTTATATTATTATTTTGGCATCAAAGAGACCACGTAAAGTTATTTTAAGAATTTTTATAATCAAGTTAAATAGCAAAAGGCTTTATGAAAATAGCCAAAATAATACCAAAAAGAGTGCTGTTAAACAAACTTTAAAATTAACCGAGTACACGCTATGATCTAAATACACCGTTAATATTTAAATCAAAATACAAAATTAATTAAGTATACCCTATTTAACTACAAAAAATACTCATAATACACTCTAATACACTCTATCACACACAACACCAAACTCATTCGAGAGCTGGCTGCGAAACACTATCTGACCACCAAACCCACCATGCTGTCGATGGATTAAAGTGGAAGCCCCAAGTATTTCAAACGCCAACTCCCCAGTCCAGTACCCAACGAATTGGCTAAATCAACCACTTTACTTTCTTGGGTATTGATCCCTGCAATTGAAGACTAGGCCTTGTTGATATCCAGCCCCGATTACAAACAGATTGTTTCATATTTTTCTTCTTTATTATTTTCCTATTTTTCTTGATGGCATATCTAGTTAAAAAGTATTTGATTCATACATTTTGGAATGGAAAAAGGAATCGATTAACATACATGTCATGCTTATAAAAAAAATTCCACATTCATCACGCTTTTGCCCACTTATCTGAATATAAGTACTATAATAGCTCTCCATATTTCCTTTGTAAAAGATGTCGTTCTCATCAACTTCCTGGAAATAATTTTATATTGTTCAAAATGACAGGTTACATATGGGATAGCAAATATTTAAACTCAAAACAGGCAGCTATTATGTTTAGGTTATTGGAAGTAAGGTTTTTCACTTATGTTTGATTAGGGTTGAATATGGTGAGTAAGGTGTACTTGTTAAAATTACATTTGTTTCACAATTTAATATATCCTTTTTGGTCATTTTATATTAAGATAAATTAGCAATTCAATAAAAAGTTTGTTAATATGGTGTAATCAGTTAATTTTAAGGTTTGTTTAGCAACACTCTTTTTGATATTATTCTAGCCTTGACAAGGATACAAATGAATTATGATGAACATGTTACATATATCTTCCAATGACAATATTGAAGCAATTTTTTTTATTAGAGTATTACGAAGCCCACTCTACAAAAGATAGATGTGATACAAATATCATTTGTGTCATTAAATAATTCAAGTTTGTTGTTATCAGAGGGAGTGATTTATTAAGGGAGCATCCAACAATTTTCTAAATATAGGACATATGCGCTCTGTACTCTTTCTTACTGACTCCGTTTTTCTCTCAAAGATTTTTCGTAGCAAGGTTTTAACGAGGGGCAACATTGAGTGCTTTCAACACCATATTAATGGTCCAAAAAAATGTTGTACTCTTTTTCCCTACGCTTAAGTTTTATTTCATTGGGCTTTCCAAGCAAGGTGTTTGATGGGCAAGTACATCATTGTACGGTGAATATTCAACGGGGAGTGTTTTAAGTATATCAGGCCTGGCCCACAAGGTGTGCGGGCTGGGCAACGGCACAAGGTCCCCACAAAAATGGGGCCTCCCAGGCCAATAAGTATATAAGCAAAAAAAGACATTTTATGTGTTAAACTAATGTTTTTGGGGTTTTGTTTTGGCATTTTTCTTTATCTTTCATGTAATGAGCCTTTTTTACTTAAACTAACCTACTTACCACTTAAGTTTGAAACTTTTTATTATAATTTTTGTTCAAAATGAGGTAAGTGTTAAACAAAAAGGCCTCATTTTTCATTTTTGCCCAGGGCCTCCAAAATCAATGGACCGGCCCTGAAGTATAGAGAACGTGGATGATCACCATAAACCTCCACTTGTTAGTGTTTTACTCATATGCCCATACTATTGTAATTAGTAGTTTGTAACCTACAATTTGTGGGTTAAATTTCTATGGTTGTAAGCCTATAATTAGGTGCTTATCAAAGATAAAAGAGACAAATTTTGGAAACAATTTATATTGTCCTTCTCTACTTCTTACTTCTCTCTACAATTCTCTATTGGCCTTCTTGGTACTTTCAGGAATTTATCACTTAAGGACTCGTAATTTTAATTTTGGCAGTCAAAGTCGTGTATTGTTCTTAAGATTTCAATAAAGGGCAATCCTTTGCATCAAGAAACAGAAGTTGGCGTTCTTGTTACATAATAAACACGTGGAGTGGCGAAATCTCTTTTGGAGCTTAGTAGGTCCAACTTCTTCTATTCGGACCAAGAATTCTGTAGTGAGGGCCTTAGCGCGATGTAGAACTCTCCTCCGACCGTGTTAGGCCTATTCATCGTTATTTGATTTCTCATAAAATCCTTTTCGTATGTTAGGCTTATTCATCGTTATTTGATTTCTCATCAATTCCTTTCCGTGTTACAGGATTATCCCACCGCAACCTAAAAGATGTTGCATGTAATATATATACATCTAGAAAAGCACCACGTTGAGTACTAGACAGAGTGGGAAAACTATGTACACTTTTTTCTTTGGGTTAAAATAACAAAACAAACCAACATACAGTAAAATTGAATAAAGAAAACTGCTATATAGAGAGGAAGGGAAGAGACAATATAGATCAATTTTCATGTAAACAAAACAAAACAAAAAAACAAACTAACCGGATTCCATTGTATCAGAACGTTCCAAATGCAAAGTTATTCTACAATCATAGCAAACGCCTGCATGCAATTGTATACCTCAATATGGTTCTGTTTAGGCATACATGCATTGCATTGTTTGAAAAGAAACCAAGTGAAAACCACAAACAAAAAACAACCATGACTCATGCAAAAACAGACCACAAGTCCCAATTGCTTGCAACTGACCTTCCTTAGACCAGGACTCACTTCCCCACATAGTTAACAAATGATCAGCACTAATTAGGTGACAAAAGTTTCAGGTTCATACAATTCACAGACCGGTTTCTTAAGGAAGATCAGAAGACATTTGACACACAGCAGGCATGTTGTTCCACAGACAAGAACCAAGACCCCATACTTGATTTGATATAGAAGTTCCTGAAGCCATGTGCCTGTAGTCAGTCGCCAAATCATCACCAAGAATTGATGCAATACTATCTGTCATGCCTTGGTCTTTAAACCCAGTACTGTGCTCAAGCCAATCTGAAGCAAGTAAAGCATCGGGACGAGTGTAATCCAACTGAGGTGTAGTTTCTTTTTCTTTATCCGGGGTCCAAGCTTGGTCAACCGGTTCTGGTTTCACATTGCACCCTGGCAGAACAATCAAAAGCAATATATGTCATTACAAGAGGCAGCACAGCACTTATCCTGCAAACTAGAAATATGAGTACCATCTTCTATATATTCACAGAAAAAATATCGATCAGAAATGCTATCATATTACCAAAGGAGAAAAGGAAGTGTTTGTAATTTGATATGTTCCAAAAAAAATTAAATAAAAAATAAACCCATGAAAACTACTTTAAAATGACTATAAATTACGAACAATAGGACAATACCGCTTCCAACTGCTAATACAAAAAAGGTATCTGCATTAAAAATATCGAGAATAATTCATGAATCACTTTAGAATGTTATTATCAAACTCATTCGTCTCCAGGTCTCACAGATTAAGATACTCACCAGTAAAGGTCTCAGCAGGCGGCGGTTCATCCAATGAACTTCCACTCGCACTAATAGGAGTACACTCACTGAACAGCGAAGTAGCAGAATGACCCAATGGAGAAATTGGGTCACGATAGTCTTCCCATTCTGTCTCGCAAATGTTCAACGTGGAACTGTCAGCAATATCACCAGGAGTAACACTAGATGAATTTGAACTCTTGTCAGAAGAAAGATTCTTTGCACAACTGAGAGTCTTTGCCTCATGGAGTAAAGCATCTAGCAGGCCACTATTACGTGGTGAAGCGCAATCTGACTCAAATGCACCAACAGGTGGGGGAGATTGGATAAAAGCATCAATTGATTCCAGTAAGGGCGGCGGAGGAGAAGTGCTCCAGCTGCCTAAATCAGTTTCTGGATATTGGAGTGAAGGGAGCTCCAGCTTCACAGCCCCTGAGGTGGGCTTAGAAGCAGAAGAATTGCCATTTGAAAGGGAATGGCTACCCTGAATTACACCAAACGACAGTGGACTCTTAGTGGTAGGATCAGGATCATGAGGAAATGACAATCCAAACGACTGACCAACTTTATCACAAGTATCATCTTGAAAATGGTCAAACTGGGGGAAACCATTTTTGAAACTACCATCAGAAGTAGAGAATAAAGATGTTGATTCTCGAAGACGCTTTTGACGATGCATTGTTGGTGGCATGAAACCACAATATGGAGAAGAACTAAGGCCTTTCATCAGCACGCCACTAGCAGAGAGATCAGGAATTTCTGGAACATAAGGTAAGACACAATTGTTTCCTTTTAAACTCTCAAATACAACATCAGGTATCTCATAACTGTTAGTTTGCAGAGAATCATGATGTGCTCTATCTGCACCATTAATTCCACCACTGGACTGGCCTTGTTGACTCTCCTGCAATGCTTGCAAACACACCTCGGGAGGATAAAGTGGTAAGCCAGCCCTCTGACGCCGCTTAATTCTGGTATTCCAGTAGTTCTTTATCTCATTATCCGTACGGCCAGGTAACTAAGAAGAGCAAAAGAGGCCGTTAATCATTTCCGAAAAAGAATGGGAAAACACATTAAGAAAAATACTACGAAAATTAAGACTAATAAGGGATGGACCCAAAATATAAAATTTGAAAAATTACTACTAGCTTTGAAGAAGAATTAATTGAGAGATGTCAATATGGTGCATCTACTACAAAATGCTTTGTCCACAACAGTGAACTTTTATCTTGTCATAATAATTTCTTAAAATAGACACTTTAAACATTGCCATATATTATTGTTCAATCTTTTAACCCATGGTAAGTAAATATACTTTAATCTTTCAGGGACACAAAATATTTTAACTAAATTAACACATGTTAGCTTCATCTAGCCAAAGTATCATGTCAAATTATCATTACCTTTCCTTTCAGTTACTATATTCAATTAAGAAGGAACAGTTTCCATGAACTTCATAAAACATTTTCAAGATTGATAACAAGAGCGAACAGTAGCACCTTAAGGCACTCTTGTAATAACATATACACGAATACCACATAGACTAACGTAAAGCTAGGAAGGATGTTTGACATATGTGCAACCCTGAAAATGAAAAATCTTGTCTGATTATCAAATGCTCAAACACAGAATAAAATATGAAAGATACCACAGCCAAGTTCTCATTCCCTTCCATCTAAGAAGTTGTAGACACATAAAAGCTACAAGATTGGTTTACCCAATTGAGAAGCTATGTCACTTAGAATCTCTATGAAGCCAGGGTATTTTAATTTTGGGAGAGTTTTACTGGCTTTTGAATTAAGGGAAAATGTTTGGAAAACTGTACTCTGTTACCATTTATGATTTTGATCTGATCTTAATTAGATAAATCATAAAAGGCACAAGTTCTTTTCCTGTGATGGTGGAAGTGCAGCAGTCAGCAAGTTATAATTTTTGTTTTTTTGTTTTCTATTCTAGAAGCTCAACAGATACAATGACAACATTGACAAGTAATTGGGAAGTTTGGGGGAAAGAATACAGGATAATTGGAGAAACTGCCCATATTTGTGGCATGCAAAAGATACATGATATTACACAAAATCAAATGTCGCAGCTAAAACTTTGAAAGCAAATCCCAAATTATACCAATGAACTCTATTCTTTTTCTTCCTTTTTTATTTTTTTGTTGATGAGAAACACAAATACTTTATTCGAATAGATACAAGCATAGAATTTTTTTTAATGAAATTCTGTATTAAACACAGGATATTTTCCTCTTATAGCTAAGAGCTCCCATATTAATGTAATAAGCGCTTCCTATGTTATATGTATGAATTTAAAATGAAGTTTGAGGCAGAATACAAAGAAACAGAATTTGGTATGAACGATATTTAGATAAAGAAAATAAACTGTGTACTTACATGTGCTGCCATGCGTGCCCATTTGTTCCCCATCTTGGCATGGAGTTCAACAATCAAATGTTCTTCTTCAGGAGTAAATGCCCCTTTCTTCAGGTTTGGCCTTAGGTGATTTGCCCATCGCAGCCGGCAGCTTTTACCACAACGGAATAGGCCTGAGTGCTTCTGAACAGCATTCCAGTTTCCCTCCCCATGCTTTTTAACATACTCCACCAATATTGCATCTTCAGCCGAGGTCCATGGTCCTTTCTTTAGAACAATTCCACCATTTCCAGTTCCTCCGTTACTCTCATCCATCAACGGAGACTCAATCTGATCCTTGGACAGCACTCCATCTTCACTCTCATTTGTTGTCCGACTCATCTCTTAATATGTGATCAAAACCGCTAAGAAGAGCCAAGACCATGCAAAGCGTAGATTGACAACCTGGAATAAAAAGGGAAAAGCAAAACGACAAATAAACACATATAAGCAGAACCATAACGCCAAATTTGATCCACTTGTTATACATGCACTAATAATTAATTTATGGAACAGAACAAACAGAAAACAAACTTCCAATGGTTTAGACCAAATATTGCCCCATATCATAAATACAAACGACCCAAGAGTCCAACAGCGCACAAAAAAATCCATAAACAGAAAGAAACAATAAGGAAAATCATAAAAGCAGTTACTAGAGGGAATATGGATAAAGGGGTAAAGATGACATTAAATTACTAACTTGAGCACATAGTCATTATTTAACACTAATTATGAGTAATTAAGACTAGTGAACTGCAGATCTTCAAAACCCACAAAAGGATACGCTGTGAGTAATATTCCAAGGTCGAATTAAATGCTTTTTACCCCATTCAGAAGCAAATAAACAAAGGAAAGGGGTCAGCCTATTATTTGATACAAAAACAAACCAATATCCAACCCATAAATCATGATTGAACTCGTAACCATACATAATTCACTTCGTAGATTGGAACGAAGTCTACGTATGGCAAGGTAGTCACGCCCACATTAATCACGGCATGCTTAATAAAGATTGAAACTCTCAGCTGAAGTGATTGCAATTTATACACCGAAAACTTAAATTTTGCATACCTGAATCAGGGGAAGATGGAGCAGATACAAAAATCCCAAGATTGAAGCTGCGAAATCGACCAAAACCCAAAGACAAGTACTTTTGCGCGCAATTGAAAATTTTCTAGAATGGGAAACGGGGATTGAAAATGAAATCAAAATGAGATAGCTCAAGCGTAGTGACGAAATGAGCTAAGACCTGAGAAAATTGTGATAATAGAACACCTGAAAGCGACAAAAATCCAAAAATTCAGATGAGAACTACGAAATTGAACATCGCCCGTTCTTAATTGCAAAAAAGGGAAAAAATCAGCTCGGAAAGTGAAATCCACGAAATGAAAAGCCTAATTATTCCTGAATCGCAATTCTCAGAACTCGATCGAGCATGCAAATGCGAATTGAACCCAATTCAATCACAGGTTTCTAATTCATGGATCGGGAAAATGGAAACCCTAGCTCAAGAAAACGCAAGCAGAGATTGGAAATTGGCGAAAATGAAGAAAACACAAGTGGGATCGATCCTAACCGCAATTTGTGAAAGAGGAGGGAGACGATTCGAGCGTAGAGAGAGCAACACATCTGAGAACTGAAATGGAGATCCAAACACACGCATAGATACACGGAGAGAGAAAGATAAAGAGCTGAAAATTTGTAAAGGAAGAAGAAGAAAAAGAAAAAAAAATGAAGAGAGAGAAATGAAAAGAGGAGCGAATGTGAATACAGAAGAATTGGGGATTGAGAAGCGAAATGGCAATAGCAGAGCAATGTTAGGCTGAGATAAAGGAGGTGACTGTGGACTCTCCCTACCACCTCACTCTCTCTCTCTTTCTCAAACTCTCTCTTCCCCTTTTTCCTTTCCTTTTCTTTTTCTCTTTTTCTTTTTCTCCCTATTTTTATTTATTTATTTATTAATATTGTTCTTTTTATTATACTTGTATTTGTTTATTCCCCATCACTTCTTTGACCCCAAAAAAAAATTCCTATTTTAAAAAATTTAGGTTTTTAGGCCCCGTTTGGGATTGCTTTTTTTCACCAAAAACCTGCTTTACTTTAAAGTTAAGCATTTTCAGGTGTTTGGTAAAAATAAAATATCTCGATTATTTTAAAAGTAGTGGCCTTTTGACAGCAGCTTTTAAAAGCGGGCTATGCGTTGCTTTTCAAAGCTGCTTTCAAAAGAAGCAGAAATAAACCTTTAATGAATTTTTTTAATTCCCAAATTACCATCATTCATTTTAAAAATAACACCACCTCCACTTTCACATCCAACTCCACCACTTACACCACCACATTCACTACCTCCACAACCACCGCCATCGCCACCGCCACCACCACCACCACCACCTCCTCCACCACCACCAACTCCACCGCCGCCACCACCACCACCACCACCACTACCACCACAACAACCACCACCACCACCACCACCACCACAACCACCATCTCCTTCAAAACCTCCACATCCACCACCACCTCCACAACCAACACCACCACCATGCTGCCACCTCCACCACCATGCTGTCACTACCACCACCTCCACTTCCAAAACTGTCACCACCACCACCTCCTCCACCACCACCACCACCACCACCACCACCAACTCCACCTTCACCTTCACCTCCACCACAACCACCACCACCACCACCACTACCACCACAACCGCCACCCCCAACTCCACCTCCACCACCACCACCACCACCTCCTTCAAAACCTCCACATCCACCACCACCTCCACAACCAACACCACCACCACCACCACCATGCTGCAACCTCCACCACCATGCTGTCACTACCACCACCTCCACAAGCGCCATCCCTACCACCACCACCTCCACTCCATCACTACCACTACTACCACATGATTAGTACATAACACTTTTAACATCATGTCTATTTTAGTCATTATTCACAGTTACAACAATTTTATACTAAAACTTACCAAACGGTTTTGACACTGCTTTTTGTACTAATAGCACTTTAAAAATATTGTTTACCAAACACGGAGCTGCTTTACTTTACAGCTAATTATTTTCAAAGCACAGCAGAAGTAACTTTTTTTAAAAGTATCCCAAACTGGGCCTTATTTCCTTTCTTCTTAGATGAACTTTGACTCACATTCCTTCATTCCTTCCCTTTTTTTTTATAAAAGAAAAAAATTATAATATATATATCTATATATATAAAGCAAAAGGTAGAGAATGGTGAAACATTCAAAATATCAAAACATGCCCTTGGTTAATGCAAACATTAAAAATTGAAATTATTAATTAAATGAGGATATTATGGTAAATTCACATTTTTTTTATATTTAAAAAATTAAAATTAAAAGAAAAATCATATAATGGATCATATTTTTATGGAACACAACTACCCATTATCTTTTTTAATTCTAAAATAATTTTTAATTTTTTTAAAAAAAGCTTCTTGCAGGCGCGGAAGCGCGTGCAGAGATGCTAGTATATATAAAGAAAAAGGCAAAGAATGATAAAACATTCAAAATACCAGAAAATACCTTCGATTAATGCAAACATTAAGAATTGAAATTATTAATTTAATGAGGATAATATGATAAATTCACAATTTTTCATATTAAAAAAATTAAAATGAAAAGAAAATCAGATAATTGATCATATTTTTATGGAACACAATTACCCATTATCTTTTTTAATTTTTAAAATAAATTTAAATTATATTTTTTTTTAAAAAGTCTCTCGTAAATGTGGAAACACGTGCAAAGAGACTAACAACCTATAACCTTGCTAAGTTGACCTGAGAGTAATATTTTATGAGATTAATTTACCCCCAAAAAAAAACTTTGCCTTCATCTATTCCAAAAGCTCTATTGGGGGTGCAGACCACGCGCGCTCCACAAGACAACTTATTTTTAGTGGTTGTACTTGTAAGTTGCAACTTGCAACTGTGCTTATTTTTATTTTTCCAAATCTTTGCATTGCCCAGATTGTTGTTTCAGCCCAATTGTTCATTGTGGACTAAAAACAAAGAGTTTATTTTAGTGGTACTTGACAAAAAGAAAAGTATTGCAATGGTGTTGACCAAAAGTATTGTAATGGTGTTTCGCACTGATTCACGGATCACATTGCATGTTTTCAACAACCCGAATTTATACACAAATTTGAAAACGTCATGTTTGTAATTCATTCAAGGACTCAAACAACTATCTCAATTCATCATTAAATGGTTTGCTTTCACCGTTGTAGAAGCATTTGAAATAAATGGTTTTGAGTTATATGTTAAGGGTATTTGAAAAGAAAGAGATGAGGAATAAGTGATGTGTGATGGGTTGCAAGAAAGAGCATTAAAATTGCTACAGTGCTCCCTGAAACATTTGTTAAATTCTACATTGCACCCTGGAAGCCTTGACCAATGTTTGGTGTGTCACTTTCCCCCTTGCTGTATACTCCATCCCAAATTCTGTTAAAATTGATGACGTGACAGGGTATATTGGTAATTTTGTCCTAACTAGCCAATTTCCCAAATGGATGTGGAATTGTGGAGCCCACATCTGGAAATAAAAATTTAAAAATAGGAAAACCCAAGCCCCTCCCTTTGTAGCTAACCCAGAAAAAAAGAAGTACTGCTAAACGAACTCTAAAATTAACTGAGTATACCCCATGATCAAAGTACACCCTAATATTTTAATCAAAATGTAAAATTAACTAAGTAACCCTATTCTCTCTAAAAATAAAAAATAAAAACCTAAGTACACCATATTTAAGTACCAAAAATACCTTTGATACACCATAATACACTTTTTTTTTAATAGTGTTTATAAATATTTGACTTTTCCTATGAATTTATGCTTCTACTCTATGTTTGCAACTTTTACTTCATAAATTTGTGTTTTTATCATCTGGGACAAATTCATGATTTTTGTTTTTATTTTTCATCGTTATACAACTCTTATAATTCTGAGACTATTGGGTATAGCTTACAATGCATACAATGTGATGCTTATAATGGCATTTCTTAGAACATTTTTTCTACTGGAAGAAGCCAAAAGAGCAAAAAGGCGTCATAATTATTATACTTATTTTCAAAAATAACCCAATTTGCAAAAGTAACTCTCTCTCTCTCTCTCTCTCTCTCTCTCTCAACGTTTGTTCTTCTCTTTCAAGTCCACCTGCAGTAGACAAATGCTAGAGCCTTCAATTTTGCACTAGTTGAAAGAGCGTTGTGTCTACTCAAGTGCAAGTAGTCACACGTAGTAATAATCTTGGAAGTCCAAGTATCGTATCCTCAAGAAGTATGTAGGCAAATGTCTGCACACAAAGAAACAATTAAACGTACCAAAATAAAAGTGACAAACAAAATGGAAAAGTAATTTGATTTGATTGTTGTAGAGATTGAGTTTAAAAATGAAATATCAATAATGAAAATGCTAAGGCATCAAGGTTCAATTCTTTAAACAAAATATATTTCATACTCTTTAATCCAAATTATAACTCGATTAAAATTATCATTGAGAAACTTTAACAGGAAGATAAAGAAATTTAAAACCAATTTAATTTTGGGAGTTTCACTAAAACACCCAAAATGGGGGCTGAAATTATAAAAAAAACCCAACACCCAAAACACTTTATAAACACACCCAAAACCCATTATTACACATACTCAAAACTCATTTATAAACACACCCAAAAAATATACAATTGTTGATTTTGGGTGTGTTTCTATATTTAAATAGTACTTGGGTTTTTTTATAAATACATGTCTAGGATTGGGTTTATTTATAAATTTGTATTTAATTTTTCAATGTTATCTTTTATAAACGATTGTTTAGAAAATAGAATTACTTAATATCTAATCTTTTAATTTAAAAGCATGCTAAGTTATTTTTAACAATGAGAAAAATAAAATTGAACTCATGAAAAGATAGTAGCACTTAACATCAATCAAAATAAAAAGATATGGAAATATTGAACAACCAAAAATAAAAGAATTTAGTAATTCATACCGTATATTGGATTAAAGAACAATTCACAAACTTACTCAAATGACACTCCCTTTAGCCTTAGCTAGAGTTCTAGCAACTCATTACAAAGTAAAACATAACTAAATTTTGAATGAAATAGATAAAGAAATCTGTCGTAGTGGTCTCTTTGCCAAATAAGTTGATGGGTGATTTATAGTAGTCAATGAGGTGAGTGGAAAATTAATACATTCATGGTGGGTAATGAAGGGTGTAAGTGAGGGATTAATTGGATTAAACATGTGTTGATGGTGGAGAGTTAGTGGAAAAGAAATAATGGTGAGGTAGTGGGCATTAAATGACTATGAATGACATGAAATAGGCTCTTTAGCTTCAACGGTTTTGTCTTCTCTTCTTCCTCCTTGCTTCTCTTTGTAATCACAATAATCTCACAATCAATTCTTCAATAAAATCCGCTAGCAATTCTCTTCACACTTGGCTTGAACTTGGACAAATATATATCTTCATCTTTTGGCTTTTCAATTTCCTACAAAAGATAAATTCACCTAATAAGTTCACCAAATTAAATATAGAAAATTCATAAATCCAATTGGTGAGAATGAAATGTAATAGCAAGTGAAATTATATTTATTAAGCCAAATTTATATCATAAAGTCTCCAAAATAATATTGAACTTGAACTTGGATCATATTCCGTAATTGTTTTATATCGCTAAGTCCACCTCTTCTCTCCATTGCAACAAATCCCAACTTAGCTTTGGCTATGTGAATAAATATGGTTGTCGGAAGAATGTTTCTATGGTACTGAAGTCCCTTTTGATACCATCTTAGATGCCTTGTAAAAAATATAAAATAAAATATAAAATAAAATAAAAAACTTCGTAGTAAGGAACACATCGTCGATGGTTACATCATTATGTGAACGCATCAAAAAATGGGGCAAATGTGGTATAGGGTTTGCTCCGCTTCATAATATTCCATTGCAAGCTTTTGTGTGTAATTGTTATACACGTTGTGGTCAAAATTTTAGAAACAACATAGGATCCCGAGTGTAATTCCGATAATTCAAGCCAATACAAATATGATGTTGTTCTGCCCTTGTAATTCTATATGCATGGCTAAAACCGATAAGACTTTCATATTTAACCATCAATAAGACTTCCATGGGACTTGTTAGATACGCCAATGAGATATATTGTCGTGATTAATACCGGCATAGTTGATGACATGAAGAATATAAACAATTATGTCCCTACATATGACACGTAATCCCAGAACCACATATCTTGTGGTGGGATCAACCAACTGCTCGGTAATGGACACCCACTGCCTTAGGGAATAATCAATTGCCTTAGTGAATACCACAATATGTTCATAAGGAAACTAATGGCAAAGTTTCACAGGCAGCACATACCTCAGACTACTAACGTTTGATAATTCACATTAACCATTTGCAATATCCCGACTATGTGTATTGTGAGCTTTAGCGGGAATACCCCCTAGTGACGCACGCTAGACATTAGGGGGTGTTAAGGCCCAAAAAACCCAAGGCTAGGCCCAAAAATATTCATAGTCCAGTACGACACCTTATTGAGAAAGAACCCGGTTGAAGCACACGAAAGTTCGTCGTATGCGCTTGCACACATGCCACACCACGCAAATAAGCAACATGCCATGCTACAAGCTTAAGTGGGCTCAAGCCACACAAATGCCCGGGGCTTGCTGAGTGGGTTGTGGTATGGATGGTAACGAGTTTTCATGAGGTCCATTGATGAGCCGAGAAATGAAAGTTTGGGCTGCTTGGGAGCCTCAAAACTCAGGCCCATTTCTTGAGCTCGAATATGCGGGTAAGCATAAAACAGAG